GTGGCCAGAAGATGATCTCGCTCAACAGAAAATATTCATGTGAATGTGAAGTTGGAAACGTTCGGGAAATAAAGGGTATCGTTTGAAGGGGCACCACAGCCAGGACAAATGGGCCACACGGCCAGCTTTGGCCGTGGACAAAGGGGAAATTTTCAGGGCACCGCTGTCAATTGTAAGTGCACCTACCGCCAAGGCTGCGGTGGCCGTGGCGAAATTGCAATGTAAATAAACACTGACATCATTCATATTAAATAGTAATTCAGAGACTTGAGAAGGAATTAAGGAGGGAAATGAAACTTACGTTGGGTTCACGTCATACTCAACTGGGCACCAAGCCTCAATCTCACATGTGTAAGTTTCAGTTCCGTTGGGATAGTAGTAAGGCACACACTTGCCCGTTCTAACTCCTGGGGGAGGGTAACCAGATAGACATCGGCACATGTTCAGAAAACATAACAAGGCTCAACGGAAGGAGAGTTAAAACAGTAGATATAACGAAAATTCAATTGTTCCATGAATGAATGGGCTTGGTGTTTTGACCACTGACTTGGACAAGCTTAGGGGTTTGGTAATTGCTAGTGTTTCATGGCTTTTAATTTTATAACAGACATTTAACAATGTGGCACGCTGGGCTTACTCGTACTCAATCGGATAACCTAGAATCCATTCACAAAAGAGTGTGCTGTGTCATACTGGGCCAACTATATACACAATATGACCTGGCTTTAACTGATTTAGGCCTTGAAACATTGGTGAATGGAAGACTTCACCTAAGTGCTACGTTTGCCCTTAAGTCATTCAACTCAGGCAGATTTAATGAATGGTTCACTAAATCTAAGAGCACCCATACAATGAATCTTAGTTATAGTAGAAAACTTGAGGAATACTCATGTAAAACCAATCGTTTCAACAAAAGCCCAATCCCTTACCTTACCCGACTCTTGAATTCATCTATTCCTGCCATCTAACACCAAGTAATCTTTATCTATAGGCAATGTATATGTTGGTGTACTTGTAATCTCTTTGTATGGTGTGTTTGTTGGATGGTGATGTCAGGTTTTGGTTTGTTGGCTTCTAGGTGGTATATGTGTTTTCTGTCCTCATGTCTGTTTTGTTTATCTGGTTATTTGGCTTTTCGTGCTATGATAGCGCAAGGCGTTTTGGTTGTATTTCTTTCATTTCTTTAGCAGCTATCATATTTTTATTCCACAATTTTTACGGTAATATGACATGTATATTAAATTTACATGTTATAATCTTTGTCATTTTAATATTATCTTGTGTAAGCTGTTCTTAAATCAGCCTGCGGGCTGCTATCCAGTTCGTAAGTGACTTCGTCACAATGGCGGACGCGCCACCTTTAGCAGGCTCCCAATGGATGATCGCTGAATCTGTGCGTTAACTTCCAGTTCCGTAGTTTCAAGTAAACGGCGATCAATGCATGTACATCTGTGTGCAGTGCATGTGCAGCAGGCCTGGTTTAAACTGAAGTGACGTCACACTTACGAAGCAGATGGACAGTCAAATAAACCATAATAATAATAATGATAAAGTAGGTCTTTGGAGAGAAAAGAATTGCTCTTCGTCTTTTCATGAATCAGTCAAGAAGCAACCTCCTCAAGTCCCGCCCCCAAGAAACTGAGAAAGCCAATACCATTCCCATTGATGACTGGTTCACCCTTCACACAGTCCTGTGATTCTTTTGCTGGTGTACAGCCAACATTGGGAACACGTGGGTCCTATATCAGGAGAAACAACAAGGGCATGGGTGAATGAACGTGCAAGATAAATCTGTAGACACCAGTTTCCGTGAATTTTCCAGTTTAAGATTCTAGGTTTCGATTCCAGTATTCTAGACAAGGCTGATCTGTGAACCTTCCAAACCACAGCAGCAAAGAGCAAAACTACTCTCCTGCCACTGCTTCTGCCACCAGTCAGAGGAAAACAAGTCTTGTGTTCACGATTGTCCTTCAAACCAGTTCACACACATGTATGTGATATGTTGCCAAGTTGAATTTCTGTAACACTATGGGACTGTTTGGCATTTGTATAATGGAAAACGTTTCTCCCTAAACAAACAAGAACAGACCCACATAAAGGCTGGTACAAATGCTTGTCAACACAATGAAACACTGACAAGAACCCGATTACCGATTACCAATACAATGAAAGAGTAATTTGCTGTGACCGTCGCATGTGTTGAGTAAAAAGTGCCCTCTAAATGTAGTTATTCATACAAAGAATTGCACACCCGAAAAGAATGTTTCATTTACCTCTGGACACTGTCCTCTCTGTTGATTCGGGGTAATGATCATGTTGGTCATGACGAAAAAAGCGTTTGATTGCTGAAAGAAAGACAAAAATTACAGAAACGTCAATCGTTTCTCGTGTCCCCAAGATGCCTGTCAGTGGAAGAGGGTGGCGATGTCACTGCAATGGTATAATGCATGAACTGCACACACAAACGATCGTCATGGTACATTTAAATCATGGTAAATGTTTGGTACGCTGTTACACTCCCTATCCTCTAACGGTCTTCCTTTGGTCCCAAGCCAACTGACCTGTCAGGCTGGTGTACTGCTTATCTCTGTTAAGCCCCAACTATAGCATCAGTCCCAACTATAGTTGGGCCCGTTCCAACTAGAGTGCTACAGTTGGGCCGGCCCAACTACAGCAGAGAGGTCCTGTGTGCATGATGTGCCCAGCATGTGCCAAAGTCATATTGTTTACAAATGTCATGTCATTGGTCACAGGGCTAGATGAACTGATGAAGTGCCACATTTTAGATGAATTGTGTCAAGTGTGAGACACATTGACTTGGATAATGTTGAGGCATTTCCCACAGACATTGGTCAACAATAGTTGGGCCAGCCCAACTGCAGTATTACAGTTGGGACTGTCCCAACTATAGTTGGGACTTATGCTATAGTTGGGGCGTAACATCTCCAATGGCCTTGGCATAAAACGACTAAGAATAATTTCTATTCCCCTATGCTGGCACTTCTTTGCATTACTCTGTGAATGGAATGAGGCAACTAGGGGTGAAATGGCTTGCCCGAGGTCACACCTTATGGCCAAAGGCAAGATTCAAACCCTTGTCCTGACCACGAGTCATGTACCCTGACCACTAGGTCATCCTCCCCTTGGGGGCCAGGAGAACAGACGCCTATTAATAGGTCTATATTCTTCTCATTTGACCAAGTCACATCTTCCATGGTACGCATTCTAAATGCAACTGGACTAAGATCGCACGTTGACCAGCCACTAGCCAGAGCCCCAATCCCACTAGCCAGAGCCCCAATCCCACTAGCCAGAGCCCCAATCCCACTTGCCCTCACTTTTTGACTGCACACAATAACCTCTGAAGCCTGTACAGAGACAGTGGGTCTAAGTGCTAATGAAGCAATTCGTTATGGGGGAAGTTTAGTGAAAGACAGCTTTAATAATGGCAGGCTTCTATGTCAATTCACATAAAATATTCCTAGTTATTTTTTTTTATAAACCCGTTTTTTTGTGAACATCAAACAAGGACGATTCAAGATCTCTATTTATTTTTGAGGATGAGGTTATCAAAACAAGATGAGGAAAGTTTCTTGGGAGCTACCCTCCAGTTTCTATGATTTGTGTAACAGTGAGCTAGCCACGTGCATGCTTTGCAGCTGTTACCAATTACCATGGTTACACCTGCTTCCATCTAAGGCACTCTTCTTTTTTTTCCAAAGTCTTTGATTTTCCCATTTCACCCCCCCCTGAAATGGGAGGGGCAATGGTCATCAGAAAGAAGGTGGTGGGGACACAAATTTTTCTGGCCAAAGTGGGTTGAAAACAATTTTTTCTTTTCATTTGGACTTGGTACCTGCGGAGGAACGACATAGTCAGAGACGTCCCAGATCCTGTCATAAGGTGTTGTGTCTTTAATGTTGAGATCTGGCAGTCCACTGATGTTGGTATAGGACACTCCTTTCAGCTTGGTCGTCACTGAGCTAATAACGGTGTCTGTGGACTGGTAAGCCTTCTTGTAAATGATGGCATATCTGTGGTACAATTGGGCAAACAAGTCTTTCTTTCATTTCAGCCTTTTGATTGACTCAATGGACTCAGTATTAGCCTGCCCACGGCACACCTGGCAACAACATCAATGTGTGTGTGTCGGTCCAATACGACACGAAATGCTCCAGATACCTGTCCCACACAGTGCTTGGTCAAAATATAAGGGGGTGGGGCTTAATAGATGGGTCTTCTTCATCCGCAAGCAACTTATCTTTTATTGGCATGCACTCTATGTGGACTTACCCAATGACATAGGCTACGATTGCCAGTTGGATTAACCTGTTCAAGAAGCCTATGGTCTTGTTCTTGATGTGGACAATCTTCTGCGTGTCATACTCCAGGGCCCAACTGATGAGCAAGGAACCGACACCAGGCACGTTTTCCTCAGGACTTGTCATTGTCGTTGCGGGTTCCTGGACACGGTATCCTCTGAATGATAAAACAGGAATCTGGTGTGCGTGTTATCTCTCGAAGAGTGGGGATTTCAAGGATCTCACTCTAAGAGTCTGAGTATGGTTGGCGTTGGGGCGCACATCTTTTCATATTAACCCTTATTAAGTTATTAAGCATGTCAGTCATCTACCAACATGACCAAGGTGAATTCAAAAGCAAAATCAGGCTAAAGCTCTCTCCCTTCTACAGGAACTGGGTCACTAACTTTACAATCCCCGTACAAGCCATGACCTCCAAAAGCACAAAAAAGTTGGGCACAACAGTTTGCTCGTTCAAAGTTCTCTTACCAAAGCTTGGCCAAGACCAAAGCAAGACTTCGGAGGCGGTACATACGCACGTACGTGCATGAAGTGGATATCAAAATCACGAGTGTTAGTGCAGTTTCTGTTTATAGACAAACTGTTTTAGCGCCCTCAATATTTTCTAAAGATCAGCTAATCGGGTTCACTCGCGGCGCTATACAATCTTTGCTCTCAACTAACCTCGTCCTGATTGTGTTCTCATCACACTGCCCCTCACAACCGACTGCTCTCCATTGGAAAAAGTAATCGCTGGGACAAGATTGGCTCGGGAAGAGTTCCATATACGGACGCCAGTAATTATTCCCCTCACCTATTAGCCTTCAGAGAGCAAACACATGTCCAGAAAAATTCAATTTAGGAGGGAAAAAACCAAGTCGTTTACTTAGAAAACAGAATTTTTCAGACCAGTCTCTTAGGGTTTGTGCGTGGGGTTTCCGTATATGGAACTCTCGACCACCAGCAAAACAATACCTCCAAAATTCTACTAAAAACTGGCCAATGGAAGCAATGCACCCCCCCCCAAAAAAAATGTAGGTAGCAATTAATTATTTACGGTGGGGATGGAAGGATGCAGTCAAACTCGGCCCAATTCGGCTCTTTTCAACGTAAGCACAAAAAAATGAGGCACTGCGATTTGCATGAGTACATCAATGAACGATGGAAATATTTGTGTTCAATGTGCATAACCATTTCAATATTTTTTAATCCATCCCGAGTCAATGAATATGTGTAACTAGAGTGAACATACTTGCAACATTAAACACATGAAAGATGGGCATTCAGTACATAAAATTACACTTTGAACCAGAAACTGGAACAATTGTCGCTTAAAGCTCACTGTCTGCTCTTTCCAGCAAACCAAAGCAAAATTATTAAACAAAAAAATCACTTTAAAATATTGTCGCGGGTTCGCCGTCGAAACGGGCAAATAAAAGGGCAGTCACACAGATCTATACTTCACAGCTGGTTTAATTCCGGGCAAAGATCCGAATGGTCCAAGGTCAGAACACGAACTCTTCTATCTAGCGTGGCTATTTATACAGCCTGAGGTTGGGCTTGTTTTTACAGAGAATTAAGAACAAAACATTACATCATAACATTTACCAATAAGTCACTGTAATGAACTGAGCAAGATACACGCAATATTTGAGTTGGAGGAACACCGATTTAATCTTCTTCATGTGAGGCTCTGGAAACCAAGTGCAAGGCTAACAGAAAATGCACACGTAGCATTTGGGATACACCGGAAGAAAGTAATACAATATATTTACGACCACAGTCCCAGAAGCAGCCGGGTTAAAAGGTGAAGTTCACGAGTTTAAGGAACAGAGTTACTTTCCATAACTTGGAATTAAGTCCTTCGGTAGTCGGGATATTACAGTCACATAAGGTAACAAAACAGCGTGCAGTGTAACGAACATTAGTGTGTCACGCTCACCGCAAGAGGGCGCTAGCGCGACCAAGCAAGCAATTGCGCGCTGTTTACATGTGGTTCTGATAGGGCGCACGCAGCGGTAACTCAACTGTGCACTGTCAATGCACTCTGAAGTGGCGAAGACGCGACGCGACGCGAGCGAACTAATAATCGCAGAGCGCGCTGTCAGCTAATAATACCAGAAATAACCAATAATTATAACTAATAATCAATCAACAGTTCATGTTGAGTAATTTCACAACACTATGATTCCTAGTGGATCAGATGACGTTACAAAATTAAGAGTCAATTTTAGCAGAAGAGTAAATTAAAATTTTATATGAAAAAAAAATCTTACAGCCCAGAATAAGGAGCAAATAAAATCTAACACTTTAAATCATAAGACATATTTGGAAGAATAGGGAACTAAACCAAACAATGAAGAAAAAGAAGTAATGAATAAGTGTTACGTAATGAACAACGAACACTCCCTGGATCAATCACTTATACTGGCCAAAGAATAACTAAGTTCAGAAATGATTGCTTGGTTGGACTTGAACACTTGCATCTCCTAATCTCGTCTTACTCGTTTTAAAACAAATTACAAGAAAAAGTGTTATTAGTGTCGAATTTCCTAAGCAACTATCTTCTCTGTTAGAATTAAATACAACATTAAAAATGATAAATTTCTCATGATATGTACACAATTTTCACATTTCAAACATTGCATGTACCTGCAGGTGGCCGGCACTTAATCAGCCGGTTGAAACTGGCCACAGACGGACTCTTGACCAATAGGAGTGGCTCAACCATCTAATGTATTTATGAATAGGTTGCAGTGGCACCATCCAAGGCATTCCAGGATTTGAAGCCCAAACATTGCAAAGTGAAGGGCCACACATCCAAATTAGAATAAAACCACCATGTCACGGGGAGGGTGAACTGCATCCGAAATTTATCAAAATTCTCATAATAATGGGTCCAGCTACTTGAAGTGAGGTCATGTGCTCTATAAGAGTTCCAGTTCTTCTGCTCTATGAGAGTTCCAGTTCTTCTGCTCTATGAGAGTTCCAGTTCTTCCTTCCATTTTTCAGCTATGCTCATCTCTTGCCAATCAGATTTGGTGATCTCGCTTAGCAGTTTTGAAATGGGAGTTTCCAGACATGTAACTGAAACAAATCAATGATTGAGAGAATCAAACAAATTACTGAGAATGTCAAATTAACAAGAAATACTAAAAAGTTAAAATAAAAAATGGAAGCTGGGCATACTACAGGAGAAAAGTAGACCATAAAAATGCCAACCAGACCTGTATGCTAGCCAGCCAACCTTGCTAACCAATCAAGCCTGCCAACCAAGCCAATCAAACAGCTCCCCCGGCACCACGCTACACGTCAGTTTCATGCCTCCAAATCAGCACAACTGATCATCAAGACGCCATCAGACCACCTGGCCACCAAACCACAAACGTGGCTAGCTGCCAGTGAACAGCTTGGCCAGCAAGACACAAAACTGACCGGTAACTAGTAAACAACCTGGCCACCAAACCACAAACGTGGCTAGCTGCCAGTGAACAGCTTGGCCACCAAACCACAAAAGTGACCAGCAGTCAGAAGATTTAGCCATCATACTACAAAACTGACCAGTATCAAGTAATCAAACTAGCTATCGATTCATCTACCTAGTTTATGAGGAGTCACCTCTGTCTCTCTCCCCACCTGCAGTTGCCGTGGACTACAACTGCCTGTTTTCTTCTAGAAATGCTTGACAGGTCCTTGCTAGCCTTGCCATAGCTGCAGACAAACCAACACAACTGCAGTTCATCACTTCTACACTGAATTTTTCTGCACATAATTATGCCTGACATCAACCGGTGTGTTTAGGCATTCAATAGACATGTGGTTGAATGTCAAATGTTGCCCATCCTCACAAGATACCTCGACACTGCATTTGTTTTAAGTAAAAACCCGAACCATGCTCTGTATCAAATTGACTTTATTGGTGGTGTCTCTTGTTTGTTTGCATTGTGGGCCAATTTTCTCACCAACTTTGACCTCATCGGGCGGTCGGGAGAAAATGATGCGGAACCATCCACGCTCATCGGAGAAAAATGCCAGAGAAGGACTGATATAGACACCATCATCAATCAAACGATGAAAGAGTGCCAGTTCACCTGCCTCGGTCAGGGACGGTATGAACTGGAAACAAAGAATCAAAAAGGAATGTAGCTTTGAAAAAAAACGAGGCCCTTAGCTGTAGCCAGGGTGTAAGGAGTACCAGCTATATTGCAAATAGTAAATATAAATCACAGTGTTTTCGCACTTAAAAAAATGCACGTGGAAAAGCACAATAGGTCGAAGAGTTAAGACAAGTCGGCGACACTTACTTTCTTTAAGTCAGCATAAACGTACAGCCCAGAGGGTCGGTTTAGGTATGGTATTCCCATCTCGTCCAGGGCATCTGTTGTAAGTTTGTGAGCCTCTCGCAACCTCTTGAGATTGGTTGGAAAGAAGACATTGTTCCACCAATCTGCAGGCAAAACAGAGTTACAGAAACCGTTTATGAACAGGTTGAAAATGAATACTTAATTACTCAAAACTGATGTTCATTTTAAAAATCCTGGTTTGTTTTATGGATGACGTTACCACGATGCGAAGAAATATACGTGTACACTAAACAGCCTTTAATGTCATTCTTATTTTAAAGCAGGTTCATTTTGTAGTTTTGTAGTTTTATTCCACAAATAATGGGTTATTTTACCTTTATCAGAAAAAAGGTGAGCCATAACTCTCTGAATGTAGACAGGAATTAAGTGGAAGTAGGTGAATCTATTAATGCAAGAACTGATGGAACTGTTCAAGGTGTGAATGACGCCAAATCTCATACCTGACATTGTCAAATCCTGGAAAAAATAAAAGTAACAAATGATATACCGTATACATTATGGATAGGGGTTGAGCTGAGGTCAGGGTAACGTTGTTTCATGTTACTTACTGCCTGACAAAGTGCACTGTGTCAGGAATCGAGGTTAAAGTGGCTCATTTCCAACCTTGCTCACCCCGAAAAAGAGTACTCTCTCAGTACCGGCGTTAGGAAGACTTGTTGTGAATTTTCTCACTTCCCAGACAAAGTGCACTAGAACAGGACCAAGGTGAGGGTAATGCGTTGCGAACCATACTCACTTCCTAGACCATTGGGTACCTTCTTAGGATCAAGGTTGAGGTAATGCATTTCTAACCTTGCTTGTTGCCCAGACAAAGTGCACTCTCTTGGGAACGAGGTTCATTGTTTCTAGCCTTGGTTACTGCTCAAGATGCACTCTCACAGAATAGGGTAACACGTTTCTAACCTTGCTTCCTGCCCAGACAAAGTGCACTCTTTCGGGATCTGGCACCTCCTCCGGTTTGAGACTAAGAAAGCTGTGGAACTTCACTCCTTCCTTGAAGATGGAGTTCATGTAGACTTCGTTCACAATCAGATGAAGCGAATGTCTGCAACCAGGTGTAATGTTCACTTCACTTTATTTCCACATAAGGGTGGAGGGGAGTCCCCCAAAAGCAGTGCTTGTCGAGTAGGGACCCCCACTTACAAAACAACACATACAAATATCACCTTCACATGGACATTACATTGGCATCCATATACATACAACATAAGACAATAAGTAGAAATAAACAAGAGATGAATACGGCCTGTAACCTGTAACCCTGTGAGAACTACTCAGTTTCCGTATAAATATTCAGTAAACACATGTTGTATTTATGTTTAAACAATGATGGATTGGTTATATTTTTATTTGGTCAAATACATGTATACAGCATTACTACAACCACAGAAAAAACAATCTCAATGGACCGTATTTGCGGGGTACCGATCAAATTTTAGTGGTACATCTGCATGGGATGGTACCAGTTGATTTTGCAGGGTTGGAATGAAATCGTAGAGTCTGGTTCTTTAAATGTAACGTTTTCAAATGTACACACTATGTCGGGGAATCTGACTGAAAATGGGTCCCCTGTGAATATGGTCTATTGTCAGCTGACAAAACTGATTGGTGCTCTAAATACTTTGGCTTAGCAGAAAAAAAAGTTTTACAAAATATCCACTTAGCAGTTTCAAATTGAGCCTAGTGCCAGAAGACAGAATACTCATGGTTAATGCTTTGTTTGGTGTTTCCGGAAAGTCGTTTACGTGTATCTTTATGGGAAGACCTTTCTTTCTGCCTTGTTGAGTTCTGGGTTGGTTGTAGCTTTGGATACATTTTAGGAAGACTAGGTTAGACTCCAAATACGTGAAAGAAAGGGAATAAAACATAAAGCAGTACATTACCTGTGGCAGAAATGCAACATGTCCAGGAGAAGTTGTTTAGAAGGCACATCTCCAAGTGGGTTATTGGGATTCATAAAAAAAACAGCTCGGATCTTGACCCCCTAAAGAAAGAAAAGACACCAAGCCATCCTTCCAGCTTGCATAACCGTCCAAAATTGTTACCATGAAAACCTCAAACGCAAACATAGACATGTGGCTCGTCATTCCAGGTTTGGACTCACTTGACATTCAAGATCTAGGAAACTATGCTTGTGACTCCAGATTCAACTGCAATGGTGCAGCAAGTCGAAACTAAACCAACCATAAAATTGACAGCAATTTATTTCCAGATTGGAAAAGATGAACCCATCTCTTTCCATTCCTCCAAAAGTTTCCCTTCAGGAGTTTTGCTTTACCTTTGCAGTTTCTTCCTGGTACACCGATTCAAACTTGGATTGGGTAATTTGGAAAGGTTCAGTCTGTCCAGGCTCATCAGGCTACGATGGAAACAAACACGGACATGAAAACCGTGAGCTTGCATTCAGATTCACCAACTATGACCCACTCTATCCATAGGAATGGGCAACATACCTCACTGTGGAAATGGACTGGAATGACCTTAGCTTCTGGTCTCAACACAGCGTCTCTGTCGAATCCGCCATAATATGGAGAGGCAACCATCATAGCATCTACAATGTCAGCATACAAAAGAATTTCAGCAACTTGACCCTGCCCTTCTTAACAACATTCAATGATCAAACCCAACAACTCACTTCATCTCGATTCAATGCACCTATGCACTTAACCTGCCCATACCCATTTCCTCCCAATGAAGCCTATCCCTATGTGCCTAGTCATGCCTAACCTAATATTACCCAATTTTGACCTTCCAGCCCATTACACCGTAGTTCAGCTGTTACACTCAAGTGAGACCATAGTTCAGCTGTTACACTCAAGTGGGACCATAGTTCAGCTGTTACACTCAAGTGGGACCTGCCCATACTACAGTTGGGCTTGTTCCAACTCTAGTTAAGCCTATCCGAACTATGTAGTTGGGGCAATTGACAGTTGGGCCATAACCCAACTAATACCAGCCAGCCCAGCATTCTCAAAACCCAAATACACGTAAAGTGTATCTCAGTCCGATCTAGCCCACAGCTCAGCCCTCTCCGGCCCATCCATCCCAAGTTCTATCTCGGCCGAGCTACCTGTCCCGACCAAGTCCAGTCCAAGTAGCCCAGCCCCTCCCTCCCCAGCCAAGCCAAGCACTCTCAATCTCAGTCCCAGCAAACTTCCCAACCCAGTGTAGGTCACGTACCCAGCAAGACCCAGCCCAGCTCCGCTTCCACCCCAAATCCATTCTAATTCAATCCACTACCTACCGCCAGGATCACAGATTGCAAATGTCAGTGCCTCAATGCAAATTCCACCTCCATTCATAATGGTAATCTTTAAACAAATCACAAAGGGCCAAATCAGCCAACCAGTAAACTGCCAATGAAACTTAGAACGACTGTTTCTGTCTTATTGACTTTTCTACCACAAAGTAATTTTAACATTTACATGTTGGTTGTATCATAAAGAGACATGTTTAATTAAGGATTTGCACAAAACTAAACAAGGGGTATTATGAAACTACCTTTCAAAGAAAAAAGTTAATATAGATTTGTCAGAGAATTGACTACTGTGGTGTTAGTACCAACATTTTTGGGGTCTAGTGGCTCTGGAGATTTGGCCTGGTCAGTCAGAAATTCTGCCACAGCTTGCCGCAGCTCTGGAATTCCCTGGTAGTCTGGGTAGGTGTACATGTCATCTTCCCATTTTACACTGAGTTTGTTCATCTGGAACAACAACAGAGTTTACATCAACAGGTCACATGCCCCCTGTACTGCTAAACAAAATATTAGATTGGAACAAAACACAAACCCAAACTCAAGATGTCACAAAAAATGCAGGAGATGCAAGACGATTTGGAGGAAATGGTCAATGCCAGAGTTTCTGCTGATATCATACTTCATGACACTTCCCACGCGGATTCTGTACCTTGATTGGCCGATAGCCATTTGCACAGCATACGCTATTTTTGCCAGTTTGCTTTCATGGCCAACAAACTAGCAAACTGCACATTGCATGCATGAATTCCGAAGTACAGTACACCGTACTAGTCTGGAAGAATGCTCTTACTCTGGTATATTTTCAACAAGTTTCTTATTCAAATTGAGGTATCAAATTAATCAGTAATTACTGAAATACTGGCGATTCACAACAGTGTGCCACCAAGAGTTTGCAACACGTCGGCCAATCATAACGCGCGAAATTTGTCGACCCTTTCCAAACGTGCATTGGGTCGACAAATTTCATGCATTGTGATTGGCCAACGCCTTGCAAACTCTTGGTGGCGCACTATTGTGAGACGGCCGTATTAAGCAGTATCTGTGGGAGAGGTATTATCAAAATATTGACTACTTCATCACATGGTGTAGTGAAACTATATCCTCACTAAGTGATCAATGGAACAGTTTGTTCACCTTGGGAAAATGTTGAGAGGCCAGTTTTACTACACACAGCATTCAACAGAGTAAACATTGGTGCATCTTCAGAAATGACAAGAGCTACATGTATACATATAAAACTCACTACATGTATGTCTGGTGCCAACAGGGCAAGCACTTTAAAGTCACTGGCGGCAGGGCCTATTATGGCAAAGGCGAGATTTGTTAACAATTTTCCTGATTTCAGGATTTTTCAGACAATATGTTCTTAAATCTAGAAAATTCTCAATTTATACTGAAGGTGTTTTGGTACAGAACACAAGAAATGGGTATTTTAAATTTAAGAGGTGCCTTCATTTCAGACAAGCATAGATGTCTACCATAGACCCTGTGCCTCTCAAAACCTTGCATGATATTTCACTTTCCTCCATAGAGTAGGGCTTAATGGATCAGCCTATTAATGGCTGATGCCTGATGGTCTCACAAATGGCCCGCCTCCACATTTTAAAAATGATTCCACCACCACTGTTTAAAGTCACACTTGCCTTAGGTCAGATCTGAAGGTTTCAAAACGATAACAGTACATACTCTGTCTTTCAGTAGATCAAACACAAGTCTGTTTTCAGATGTGCCCATGTTGATGCAACCCTAGAAATGAAAAGAACAAAGAACTTGCGGGCGTTAGCTCACTGGATCCTCAGCATGCAATGTGCTTGTCAACAACCTGCCAATAACAGACCTCAAAAACTTTTGGATTTGGACATAAGTGTAAAGTTTCAGGTTGTGAAACAAAAAAAGTGGGCGACTGTTGGAAGAGGTCATAATTACTGGCATCCGTATATGGAACTCTTCCCAATTGGGTTTTCAGGCCCTACTTCATTCGGTGGGTTTAACCCGGAATATTCCTCTAGGGTTTTCCTCCACCTCTAAAATCGTAACTGCTTCTCATTTGAATGACATGTGCCTAAGTCTTCAAATATATGCAATTGGTGCATCTCTTGGAAGAAGAATGGGTCTCTAGTTGCAATGTAACCCAACACACGCACCACTTTAATGGATGACTTGGTAAACGGTCAAGTTGTCCCACTAGCCGAGGAAACATGGTCGAGTTACCATCTGTCTATCAATTAGTGGAGATTTTATATGGAGGTCGGAATAATCACTTCATGACTTACTGTTGGGTTTGAGATACTGTCATACTTGTTTACGTTGCTTGCTCTGGCTCCAGCACTCAACAAATATACGTATCGCAGAATGTTCTCTCCTCGACAGCTGAGGAAGGCCATATTCGGTCCAACTTGAAGCCTGCGGCAAATGTGGAGGCTGCGGTATCCAAAACTGTTTGGATAAAGGGCATGGTGGTGGGCGCCGGTGTCTAAAATGGTACACCCTACTTTGCGCAAATTAAACGCACATCTGGAGATCATTCTTACCATGCAGTGAACCAAAAAATCACCGGCAGATCTATGATTGTAAAATTTGCAACGTAACTTAATAAAAGAGAACACTTCCGAACTCTCTGCAGATAGGAGAGGAACACTTGTAGTCCGGTTGCCAAGCGTTCAAAGTGGTGCGCTTGCGGTCCTCCCTGAAATCCCAAAACCTGGGCCGGTTCGCGTTCGCGGCCGGTTCAAAGCAAAACAGAGTAGACTTGACTCAAGTCGGGATCTCTGTGACGTCTTCGTTCATATGCTTTGGAACATTTATCGAGGCCTAGTCTTGGTCAAGACGTTGTTGTGTTGTTGATACGCGAGAGGGCGCTCACACGACGAAAAGCTGGAACCACAGACATATCAACACATAATATGATTACGTCTTTGCGGCTGGAACGCACGAACCACAATAACTAGCCGTGCCGTTTACTTGCTTCGCTGCGCCGCAGTCTGTGCTTCGCCGTTGTTTATGGTGTACAACACGAGCGTTTCACAATAGTGTGCCTCCAAGAGTTTGCAAACTCTTGGAGGCGCAATATTATGAATTGCCCGTATTTACGACACATATTTCTGCCTCTCTCGCGGCAGCCTCTATCTAGCTATCGGTGCGTTCGATTAGCTTCCCTGAATATAGACTAATCCGATTAGACGCCATAACTGTGGTGGCAGAGAAGTATGGAAGGGCTCCGTAGCACCATGATCAGAAAATCGACGAGAATATAATATCAAATCATTGCTCTGAAATATGTGATTGCCGAGCTTTCGGTACCTTCTTCAGAGCACTCTGCTCGACCGCACCGCACTCACACGCACATTCTTCAGCTAGACGCGCGCGTGCATTTGGCAAATCACGACACCCTGTTGGTCGAACAAGCACGTAACGTGCGCGTACCACCTGTTCATGAGCGTGACACCAGGGCAGGCACGAAGATCACGTGATGGCTAAACGAACGCTCTTGTGTAACGTGTAAGCTAATCGAACGCACTCAGTGGTTTATGGTCTCTGTAAAGGACACCTTAAGTTTGCTTTTTTCTTTAATTTCTGTCCTCCGTGTTTGTATATTGTAGTAGGTAGCAGGCCTTGATTCTGTTGTTCTTTTTCATGCATTCTTTATAACTTTGTCTTTCATTAAGATTGAGTTGGTGAAGAAAAGGTTCTTTTGGGTTTTTTGCTTTGTTTTTGTTTTTTTCATCAAATGTAATTAGAAAGAGCGTCGCGACCAACTGCCAGCAAAATTGTCTCCAGGAAATAAATAACGTTGACGTCGGCCACAGCACTGTTTAAGCGTTTGCTGCTCTTGTTATGATCTTTCTCATACTAGTAAAAATTATTTGTAAATCCTTTCTAAGATACAGTACATCAATCATTATTACAAACTTCCACATGTAACATGCGGATCTGATGCCATGTGCGTGGCCAAACTGAGTTGAAGAAAAGACACTGTCACAATGATTGTAGGGTCTACGGAGTTTTATTCAGAAACATGGACTAATATAATTGAAATTGCTGTACTGTACTGTACTTGGAAATCGCCGGAATTGACCACAGAGAAAGTAGGTAACTAATCTACCACAAATGGGAACTTCATCAACGGTCTTAAAAAGAGAGTGGATGGAAATCAAAAGTTAGAACAAGGATCAGTCGGCTAATTAAAGAGTGACGAATTCTGGGCTTACACTTATTATGTGAGAGCAGTTCCAACATACGCATTTTCTATTTGCTCTTTTTTCCTTTTTTGTAAATTGTGACAGAAACTATTTCAAATTGATGAATGGATGGAAAAAGTAAGAAAAAATCAACACCTGCGGCTCAGGGCATGTATTTTGCAAGCGCAAAGGACGGAAATGAAAGAAAACAGCGATGCCCCCGTATAAACATCACGAAGCAAAGGGTGACAGCACACGACATTGTTTGTCGTGTCGTGTGTCACTTCGTGCTTCAGGCGATGTAATACGCGACGCATGACACGACATACGATGGTGCGACGCCACGGGTCTCAGAAGGAGTGACGTTTAGGCAGAAAAAATGCAATAAGGAAAGGGCGTAAGACAGCACGACGCGACGGGCAACGGCACGACGCAACGCGTCGTGTGTACAAGTGTAATGGCAAGAAGGCAACGGTGCGACGGGACGCCGGCTTGATGCAAGGGAGCCGTCGCACTGTCGCGTCGTGTTGTTGCGTCGCCTGGAGGGAGGCTAGAGAGAGAGAAATGTGTGTCGTAAATAGTACACCATAGTGAACAATGTGCAGAATGGAGCCCTTTGATCTCTTCGATCAACCATTGACGTGGAGGCAATGCTTCCACAATCAAAATGAAAATTTCCCTATCCCAAGAGCCAAATTTCATTATTTTCCTTCCGATATCCTTATTTTTTTAGTTAACCACCAAAAGCCTAATATACTTCAAAACTACTATGCTTGTTTGCTAGATGAAAGAAAAAGTCAGTACAATGCTCAAACTCACGGTCTTGAAAAAAATCAGGCTGTGTGCATCATGTACGGTGAAAATTGATCTGATGTCACAGCTATTTCATGTATTCCTGCATGTGACTGCCCAGGAATAGAAAAGAATAAATAAAAAATAGCGCCCTCTGTAGGTTGATTAATAACAGTAATAACTGTACTTGGACAACTCAGAAGTTTTATTCTACTGGTCTTGTTTCCAGTCATCCTGAATCTGAAGGAATAATATTGTACAGTTTGAAGTGTAGATTTTGCTGCTAATTTTGAGAATATTTGTAGAATTTGCTCAGAATTTAATAATTACCATAGAATTTCTTTAGATTTGCAGGATTTCCTCAAAATTTTCTTAGATTTTTTTCATTTCCTTAAAATTAACTTTGAAAGCAAAAATTTCCTTAAAAATATGGAAATTTCCTTGAAAGTGGAAGAGCTGTCTGGGGGAGAAAATCCCTAGGTATATCTGCCCCTAACATTCACAATAGGGTTTTCGGCAGATCGCGCACTCTCCTCGCACCAGACCCTTTCCCACGATCGCTGAAATGGATGCTGCGAAACGACACTTAAAAATCATGTTCATACATGTAACCATTCAAGCATAGCTTTTCTACGTTTTTTTACATACTACATATTTGTGTTCTAAAATCGCCATTTTGGTGATTTAAATATCCGTATTCGTACAGGGTCCCTCAACTTAGGGGCTTTTAAAAATCTATTGAGAAACTTTTTCTTCTGCTTTTCCCGCTGTGATTCAATGAAAGTGGGCTTTTATTTTGTGTATTTAAAAAGTCTTTCTGGAGGATATTATTTGAATTCTTTTATGGTTGCTGGATCCGAACCCGAAAACTTGTAACGAAAATGTTATGGTTCACCAGTACTTACGCTTATCCTAAGCATGTAGCCTAGATGTTACAACGAACCAGCACCGAAAACTATGATTATGAAAAATGCTGCTGCTGAGATGTTACATATGATCAAAACTGACAGCTAGCAATTCAAATTTTCATTCAAGAACAAAGAACAGTCGAGGAACAACCTCTGTTGTCCCTACACATGCTAGAACTACGGGCTCGCCACCATGCCCACGACACTCCCCACGAAATGCTTCGGAGCGTGGTGGGCGAAGTTCTACAAACATTCAAATTAATTAGGTTTTGACAACACCTCTTCCAAAAGAGGTAGTTCCTTACAAATTGCATCTGCATTCACAGTATGCAAAGCTCCAAATCCCACCTTCATTCATGAACCCAGCTCTATTCCGGAAATCGAAAACAAAAGTTAAAAATGGATCAATCGCTAGTTTTATTCAAATCTGACAATCAATTGACAAATTAACACTGAACTTAAAAAATTACAAAATGGACCCCTCTTGTAATACTGTAACCCTTCACTGAATTAATAAATTTTAATAAATCGTGATAAAATTACACAAGGTACATGCCAAGACAACAGCAGGCAAACAATAAAACATGGGGACTTGCTGAACTTTTTGGGATTGAAGAAGAAACTGTTGTATTTGTATATATATAGTAAATTTGCTTTAAAAATTACTGTTTATTTCATACATTAACTATGGTTCAGGACCGAATTGATCATCTGTGAGTGGATTCAACAGAATGAATCTTAAGGCCACATTTTTTGCAATTCTTTTTGTCCAAGACAGGGCAAATTTAGTCCTTTGTTTTGATGTAACAACTATTTCGGCATCCTGATGCAAATGGGAAATATGGGTGAAAACTGTTTGAGGGTTCCTATTGGTTAACGTGGTGCAAGATTCTCACAACAAAGGCCTTTCACTCAAAAAATGCTCCAGCAACTTGTGACTGATTTGTCAGGTTGGGTACGCTCGGGGTTCTGGACAGAACATCTGAACAGAAATTAGAGTGACTGCTGGCAACACATACATTTGTAAAATGTTAACTCTGAGGTGAGTGCCTAGATACTGGACAGCATAGATATAGGGGGACTGACACATATGCCAGTATGGAACTATCCATAAATTTTCATAGTAAAACTGACAAAGTCCCTTAAACGCTCACAACCCCAAAAACCACTTGATCAAATGATAAATGAAAAGAGAACGCAAGAATAACTGACACACACGGAAAACAGGAAAGAGAACAAGTAAGGGGATGTGATCCCCTCAGATTGCACAGTCTCTGGTTACCATGGTAAGTGCTTAGTCTTGGCTCAAAGGAGTTGCTATTTGGTTCATGGACCACAGTAATATTGCACGTGGGGAACAAAACCACATTGGTTACAGACTTGGCATCAAGACAGGTCTAGATTTTGGGTGGTTGATGGTCTAAACCATCCATCATTTGGACAATGCTGAGCCACGGTTGTAGCTCAAACTTGCCCGATGTTTACACACAGTTGGAATCCAGCCAATATTAAGCCCATGTTATTGCTCGTTTCTCATGTACCTGTATATATTTACCCCACAAAAGAACAGGGTTTCATGAGACCAGCATCTTTTTCAATTTGATAATTCTAAACCAACAGATTCAGTTGGATCCTATTATACAATTAAAAACATACAACTTGAAAAATCTGATTCTGCCCATCTGTATAATGTTGAATATCCTTCACATGCACCGCACCCCTTGCTTTGTTCTGTACTTTAGCCAGGCACTTTCATGACCAATGAATGATTATTTTTTACATCATCAAGGCATCTGTCTTCATGGAAGGCCTTTGCCTCATGCACTAATCGTGCCATACTTCAAGGTGATATGGCTGTTTTTTTGTCCAAAATATGACAAGAAAAAAAGGAATAAAGCAAACAAACCCTTTCCCCCCCCCAAAAAAAGGAATGCCTGTTCTGCACCTTGAAAGACGAATCACAAACATTGTATGAGAAAATGAATGGTATCTGTGCATTTTTTTCATTCTGATTTATTTCCTGATAATTGAATGGCTCAACTTTGGTTTGTGTAAAAACATTCCCATCAAAGTTCCTCCTTTTTGTTTGCTGAGGGCTTGAAAGACAACAGGATATTCAGTTTAGCTTCAAACACTTTCCTTTTATTGGCTGTCAATTTCTCCGTCACAAGTTTCTTGATTCTCACTGTCTCTGTCATGGCAAAGCCCTCGCCCTTCTCCAGTATCTTTTCCATCACCTTGATGTAGACATCTGCAGATTTCCTCTCCTCCTCGCTCGTCAGCTTCTCCTTCTCTGCTCGGGTTGCCTCCAGGGCTCTCTTTCGCTCCGTCTCCCCTCCTGCTGCCACAAACTCCTCGGCCAGCTTGTCGAAGCTCTGCAAACAGCCCTCCAGCCCGATCCAGAGGCCCGAACGTTCCCGGACAAACTCCAAGATGCTGCTGCTTTTGACCTCACCCTCATAGTCGATGGGCTTCTCCTCCCCCTGAAGGAAGAGCTTGTAGGCGGGCCTATCCTCCTTGGTGACACTGAAGCGCTCTGCTAAGTCTTTATTCCCATTATCTGAGTAGTCTGGCAGAAAACAGAAATGAACTTTTACAAACTTGCACAACTGCACAGGTTTTTAAATCTTAAATTGAAAGAAAATGAATATTTTAAAGAAAAGTAGAAGTTTCAAAGACATGTACCACTTTTATTAAGTCCAACAAGTGTGCCGATTTTCATTCAAGCAAACAAATACTCTGCTTCACTCAGATGACACCAACTGACAAAGGAAAAGTTCAGACAAACGTTAAAATGCGTATTTCACTCAAAGGAACTATACTGGAATAGAACGGTTCTAATTTGAAAGGAACAACAAGATGATCCTCTTTCACCTGAAATCCCAACCTCAGCTATAATGAGGTCAGGCTGAGAGCTGCCCCTGGCTGCAATCTTCTTGTACTCTTCCTGTTTCTCTCCATATGGATAGGATTCGTCAAACTTGACCAAGACAGCTTTGAAGTGACGAATGACCTAACAAAATGAAAAAATAAAACCCAACTTAAATTTGAAAATTATTTCACATAACTTGCTTGTGGCTTAGCTTTTTTGTGAATCTATTAATTTTCGGCACAAACATTCGCTTTTACACAGTATAGCCCATAACCTTGTGATGATGGGAATAAGTTTGGCATGATGGCAATCTATGTTCTTTTGACAAAGGTTTTTAGAACCCAAACAGTGATAGGTGAACAATATTATGTTAATTTTCAAGTAGGCATGCTTGTTTTTGTATACGTAGAATAAAAAGAAAAAAAAATAAATTTGCTTAACAACAGATATTGCTATAAAAATTGTGCACAGCGATAAACATTGTGTGGCTACATGAACCACAAGCAACAGTCCAAAGAGACTGACATCAACTATATGTTTTGTACCACTTTGTAGGGTCTGTTTTGCCCATGACATGTGTGCTGCATGTAAAGCTTGGCACATGGGGCTGGGGCACAGTACGTCACACCGGCCAGCTACAATATGGTAGGTGAAATTTCCTCATTCCAGCATTTTGACAAAATTGCCTCGTGAGAACAATTAAATTCCCCTGTCAAAATTTAACTTGGACTTCGTTTCCCTCTAAAAATACTTGTGAGAGCTATTAAATTCCCCTGCTGACATTTAATTCGGAAAATTCTTGGAGCCATGGGCATAAATCCCAGGGGATGAGGAGGGTATATCCCTCCCACTTTTTGGGGTGGGCGATGGGCGACTGATCCCCCCCCCCCAGTTTCTTGTGAGGAGCAAAAAAATTAAAGTGGATTGCGAAGAAGTTTTTGATTTCCTAATGACTACAATGTTTGCAATACCACTAAAAAGGGGGGAAACCATTTGAAAAAGCCATTGATATCCTACTGTGATGAAAGATTCTGCATGACTTTGATACGCATTACAGATGTACCGTACGTCTTTACAATGAACATTGCCCCCATATACTGTACATGCTGTCATACGCCCTCCACTGCTTTCCAAATTCCCATGGCTGGGCAAGTCATCTCTCCCACCTTTTCCCATCTCTCATCCCCCCCCGATTTCCAGAACAGATTCACGCCACTGCTTAGAGCCATATTCGTTAGAAAAATATCTGCAATAAAAGTACGATCTCAGACGAAATAGATAACAATCTGGGAAAATAAGTGTTTTGAAACGACCTCAAAACTATTAGTTTATAATGGAACCTTAGCCGCACCACCAGCCAGGCCCGGTTGAACACTATTACCATCATGACTCCCTTTAAACATCGCACAGTTCCAGGCACAAAAATGGCGCACGTTCAAAGATTGCGCTGACAACAACATCATGCTCTGGGACCAAGGGCCCTACATCTTTTATGCTGTCCGGTTCCCAGACCAAACAGATCCCAACTATGTTTATCAACTAGAATTAATCACTGTGGTAAATGAATGGCTGTGTTAAGATAACCAAAACAGAAACCAAATTTTATGGACAGAAACAAATTGAAACTTTGCCAAAATTTATAGATCAGCATGATCAATGAGTGAGTGAGCCAAATTTTGGTGTTCATTACCTTTAGCACCCTATTCCTATGATAAGGGAAGAAATTCTACTTTTTCAAAACAGCTTATCAAAACAAGTTGTTGGTGATCAGAAAGAAAAAAGAAAAGGGCTTTTGGTTTTTGACATATTTCAGGGAAATTTTTGGGTAAAACAGCAATGCACATGACCACCCAAAGAGCTGTGAATGATAAATTAGTGACTGTTAATGGTTCCTTGACCTGGATGGAGATTTGTTTAGATGAATCCAAAATGCCTGAGTCAGGTAACCAGACAAGAAACAAAATTGTGTGATTTGACGGAGCAGTTTTCTTTTGCCGAACTGGGGTTAGAAGTTTGTGGTTTCCTTGCTTAAATATTGTCAAAATTAACTAAACTAAGCCTATAGACCTATCAGGATTGAGTAATGGTTCCTTGAGGTCAAAATGTTTTTTCATTTGAGAAAGTGGACTTTGTTTGTTTATATGAACAGGGTGCTAAAGGTAATGAACACCCGAAATTCCGAATTTACAAAATGGGGCACATACGTGTACTTTACTGGGAGTCATCGGAGTGAGAAGTTTTTTCGCAGTCTGGGGTAGACCATCATGGGGCTGTTACGGCCCAACTATAGCATCAGTCCCAACTATAGTTTGGCCCATCCCAACTGGAGTGCTACAGTTGGGCCGGCCCAACTACAGCAGAGAGGTCCTGTGTGCATGATGTGGCCAGCATGTGCCAAAGTCACATTGTTTACAAATGAAGTGCCACGTTTTAGATGAATTGTGTCAAGTGTGAGACACATTGCCTTGGATAATGTTGAGACATTTCCCACAGACACTGGTCAACAATAATTGGGCCAGCCCAACTGCAGCACTACAGTTGGGACTGCCAAACTATAGTTGGGACTTACGACATGTAATAGTTGGGGCGTAACAGGGCCAAGGAGGTGGTCCAGTCACGTCATGCCAGTACTTTAGATACTGGCCGCGCCCCAGCCCAGTCTGGGGCTATACCACAACCCAATGAACCCAAACGAAATAAACGAGTAGGCCTAATCGAAAAAGAAGTTAAACTGCAAGTTTAAACATGTTAAACCTTAAGGTTAATGTTAAGGCTTAAGTTTGGCCTGCGGCCGCCGATAGGCGATACCTGGATACCGGATACAAGTACCTACATTATTCATGTACGTGCCAAATTATTTTCAATAACGCGAAATCTACCTTGTCAAAAATCAAAGAATCCAGTTGAAGGGATCCCGGCACGGGAAGAGCATTCGTCATTTCAATTAAAGCAAGAGTAATTCCAATAAAGTTAATAATATGGGCAATTTTGTGAGCCATATCTGTGTGTGTCGGCAATAGCCAGCCAGGAAGATGAAGAAACGCCGCCTCGATCATAGACAGGTGCTTATAATGTCTGCAGAAAAATAACATTTCACTGGTAATTAGAGTGTCTGGGTTTTAGACTTTAACAACTTATTCAACGACTGTTAGCTGTTTTGTCTACCGCTAGCGCTAAGCACCCCTTGATAAAAATCACATAGTAGACGCATATGGAGGAAGGTTTGTGTCCTGTGGTAGACGTGAATATCGCGGTGACAATACTTTTGCCTCTGCAAATACATTTACATCAAACTTAGTACGGGGTTTAGAACTAGAATGTGAAATATTTTTCTGCTTAATCTATTTTTTGTAAGCGCAAATGTAGTGTTGCTTAAAATGTAAGTTCAGCTACCTCCCTGGTTCAGCATTTGTCGAGGCTGTCCCTGGCCAGGAGTTCACGACCTTTTCAATGGCAGGTGGCCAAATCACAACATTGAACGGTGAATTCCTTGCTTGAACGCGATGCCTGATGACGGCTTGTGACTTGGTTTATCAAAATGTCCTCGTCCCAGAGAGTCCTCTATAGTCACTTTTTCATCATGATACGGTAATGATTCTTATTGCTTTGTCGAGTTCATATTGTTCAATGTTGAAACTCGATTGGACGTGGAAGTTTGTGTGATCCAAATCGCGCCGGTCAATTCTGCGGTTATCATGGTTATGAATGATTGTTACCTGTTGCATCGTGTTTTGCCTGATGATTAATACTTGTTTATCACGGAAAAGCATGTATGCGCCACCACCCCCTACTGTCGCCCCATTAACCGGCAGTCCTTACTTTTCGCAAGTCTTTTTTCTACTGTCACGCCAAAATAATCATGAGGCCGACATTTAAGAAGTCTTCTTACTACTGTCGCCCCACTACCTTCTCCTGTTGCGCCCTTAACTGGTAGTCATCACTTTTAACAAGTTCTCTTTCTACTGTCGCCCCTTTACCTTCTACTGTCGCCCCCTAAACTGATAGTCATCACTTTTAACAAGTCCTCTCGAACGTACATTTTGTATGTGACGACATGATATAGCTGTGATGACGTCAGGGTCGTGCATATTTATTACACTCTCGACTGTCAAACCTTTTTATGCTACTTAGCTTCACCTGTTCACCATGGTCATCAGGGTCATGGAGGTCTCAACTACAGTTGGGCCGTCCCAACTATAGTTGGGCCCATCCCAACTAGAGCACTACAGTTGGGCTGGCCCAACTGCATCTACAGCAGAGAGGTCCAGTGTGCATGATGTGTCCAGCATGTGCCAAAAGTCATATTTTTTACAATGTCATGTCATCGGTCATAGGGCTCAATGAACAGATGAAGTGCCACATTTTAGATGAATTGTTTCAAGTGTGAGACACATTGACTTGGATAATGTTGAGGCATTTCCCACAGACATTGGTCAACAATAGTTGGGCCAGCCTAACTGCAGCTCTACAGTTGGGACTGGCCCAACTGTAGATGGGACTTATGCTATAGTTGGGGAGTAACAAATGCATTGTTGGTGTTGTGGAGGCTGATCTTTGGTGTTTTAGTTGAGTTACGATGAATTTGCAAAACGTTAACTTGTGCCTAGATCCTAGTCATGCTAGTGATACAATGGAGGAAGGTACATGTACATGTATAAAGCCTTTGCCCTCCAACTGAAGTTAAAGCATAACCTCGTTCAGGTGGCTGGGCCAGGGATCCATACGTTAAACCACTTAGTCCCAGTGTGACCGGCCGTATTTATCTCTTGTTTATTTCTAATTATTGTCTTATGTCAGTATGCCAATGTAATGTCTATTTGTATGTGTTATGTAAGTGGGGATCCTAGTTCAGGTTGGATGTTGTTTTCATTACACTACGACTGATGTCCAGGGTATAAAAATCCTCCTACAATGCAAAATTTTTTCAACTTTTTTTACTCACCTTTTTACCTGGCGAAGACAGGTCAAATGTCGTTAACAAGTGCCTTGTATCCCAAATTCTATAAATACTGTATTGAAATTACTAAATACGCCCATGGACAATGTATTTTGCAGAAAATTCTGCAAAATTCCACGCTCTCCGTGGCGATTTGTGAACGACCTACGTTTGTCTGGTAATTTGCGCATGCGCGAAATGGCCTCCAAGCTCGGCTTACATGCTGTCAGGTTGTCTAGAGCTAGGTCTAGGTCTTCACGCCATTGGAAATGCGTGGAGACGCGCAGACAACAGACCTAGCCGTGTCTTTGGAAGCCGTTCGGACACGGCCTTATCTGCTACTTCTTCACGTCGACGTCTCTTCCGTGCATGCGTAAGGGGCAGTTGGATACTATGCATTACGCACATGTGTTAGACGAATGTACATGCGACAGAAAGCTAGTAGTTTTGCAAAATTTCCTGCAAAATACGTTGTCCGCGGGCGTATTTAGTAATTTCAACACACCATTTATGGAAATCGGGATACAAGGCAGCTATCTTGTGAGCTATCTTTGCCAGGTAAAAATGTGAGAAGAATATGTTGAAAAACTTTTTCATTATAGGAGGACTTTTATACCCTGGACGTTAGTCGCAATGCAATGTAGACGACATCCAACCTGAGCTAGAGGGGGGTCGCTACTCAACAAGGACTGCTTTTTGGGGACTCCCCTCCACCCTTTTGTGGAAATGAAGCGAAGTGAAGATGCTGGAAAATGTTCAGAATAAATGCAACAAGGATGCCTACTTACTGGTAGGCCTCTTTAATGTGTGTGTGCTAGTGGAGGCAGGTAGACATTTCGCAGTCCCTTGACTGGTTCATATTTTGCTAACGGTTTGGAACCGAGTAGTTTAGCTGAAGTAGCCTTTCTATTGTTCACTGCTGAAGAGGTACAATTTTTTGTAACAGCATCTCTAGCATTCCAGATGCTGGTAACACAACAGAGACTAGCACTAGTCCTAAAGCCAAAGACACAGGGAAAAATAAGACCAGAGCGAGCCTTCCAACTAATGAGGAACTAGGACATATAGCCAAGCAGCCTCATGTACTCAATAGCCTCACACAGTGCCGACTTTCCTAATTCACCCATTGAAGATCATCCTTGATTTTGACCCAAAGTAGGCTGGCTCGAAGCATCCTATCAGCAAGTCTTGGACACGCTAGTTGGGCACTTTTACAACAGATCCGTAAAGGGTGGCTGCTATCAATGTTTTTTATTACAAACCGGTGAAATGCACCTTTGTGCCTCAATAAACCTTATTTTCAAATTCAGTTTCGCTATTTCAAAGGGTATTTTAATGCTTTGAGCAAAGTTAGTTTGTCATTGTAGACATGGACCAATGAAATTGTAGAAATATTTATGTACTGTATTTGCATCAATTTATAACTGTGACATCACACCTGCTCATGAAGTAAAGCAAGCAAAGGGCATTGACGGCAGTTTAACACCCTTGTCACTTAATTTAACTGTCCACACGTGGGTGCATGTTCATTTTTGACAGATGCTCAATGTCAGCTTCATGTGAACTCCAAATCATGGCCAAAGGAACCTCAACAACGCCATGCAGTCAAAAGGGTGCTTTTGTGGTTGAGATGAAGATAATTTGTAAACCTGCTCACGGGTTTTGGCCAGAAGGTTTTTTTTTTCAAACTGTTTTGCGTGTCTTTACACAGTTTGTTAAGCATTGTTTGTGGTGATTAGTTGAAACTGTCTGAGCACATGCATGAATTATCGAGGAACTTAATCAGATGTTAAAGTTGCTTGTGGCTTCGCCATGTGCTAGTGGTTTTTGTGTTTGCTAGGCTTTGGGATGCCATTTGCTCCATTTCCTCCAGATCTCAATTACTAGAAGTCAATTTTTCATCCAACATAAGTAACAAAAGCAGAAAAGCATGTTTTCCATGTACGGTAACAAGCTGTCAAGTGTGGTTCAAGTTTCACTTTTTTTATTTTCCAGGTAACAGTGAGATAGCAGTGTTGATTAAATCATTGTCAAGAGCTGGAACAGTTATGTTTTGTTTGTGAAGGAAGCATGTCTACCAGTACATGATGAAGCTTTGGGTCCATCAAAAAAGCTTCTGTGGTAAGCAGTACCATCACTATTTGCCACATACATGTTTTCAGATCACCAAAAATTGGAACATTCTGATTTCCATGAAAAGGGAAAAAATTAAGAAAAATGTCCTGGCCAAAGCGTAAAAAAAACAGAGGGTACTCTGTGTACAGCTGTAGATGAAAGAGGGTGCACTACATCAAAATGGCAGTTGGTACCATTATGTACGTGTGTCATATCTGTATTGTGTACATGTATGTAAATTTATATAGCTTCTTTTGTGTTTTGCAAAATTGGATCATGAAATTGGTGTTCTGATGTCTGAGTTTTCAGTGTTGGCAGGTATGTCACTTGTCTGGTGAGGCCTTTTGGGTTTTAAGCCTGCTTTTCATCAAACAGTGTCATGCCTCAGACAGATTTCTCAATACAAACCGAAATTAGGAAGATTGCCCAATTTGGAGTTCTGATTGTTGAGATGTTATGCCTAATCCTGTAATGATGAGCATGAAGTCGCTCAACTAGCAGTGACGGTGACAGGCTTCAGGCTTATTCAACATGATGTTGAGAGAGGAAAAATATTCCAAAGCCTTACTCGTGGTCCTGACATCCTTGGTTTTATTTTGTAGTGTTTTCTTGGGATTTTGGTGCTAATATTTGCGAAGTAAATGTATAAAAAAGTGAAATAAAATCTGTCAGGTGGGCAGATTTCTCATCACCTGCCCCCACCCCCCAGTAACACCACTGCGCTCAACCAAACATGGTCAAGTTGTGATTTACATGTGGCTGAAGTCTTTGAAAATGATTACAAGTATTGTCTTGGGTAGACAACCTGTACAGAAGTTCATGAGTTATACCGGTACATGTAATGCCTTTGCTAATTTTGGATAATTAGCAGCTAAATTATTAAGATCTGTTTTTCCAGCTTGTGCTGACATACAAAAATATTTCCGTGGTTTCCCGAGTAAGTAAAATGAACAAGTTATTGATACCACAACGGACAACAGCTACCCTAAAGTGCAAGTCACTGCAACAATTCAGATAAAACGTACAAGAAGTGCCTGTTTGCCATTTTTTCACACTTGGTCTTCTTGCTGGTTTGCGTCTTCCCTTGCACACAAAGGACTATGTGCATGTGGCATGTTCAGCCGCTCCCTCAGTCTGTGCCTGCAGCTAATACCCCAAGAAATGCAGCACGGTACTGTGCACTCAGGGCACCATACCAGTAGATAATAATAATAAATATTATTTATATTACGGCTAATGGGTCATTAGGGAGACATTCCCATAAGAATGTGCACAAAATTTTTCCAACTTTACTGTCCCATAATTCAATATTCCCTAATCTGATCTGAACCAAACTTTGTATGTTTTCATTTTAGGTCCTAAACTATCATCTCTCAAAATATGGACTTTAAAATTCGGCCTCCTTCTGGTAGTTTGAAAATAAGGAGACACTGAAATGTTTCCCTAAAAGCCAATGTCTCCCTAATGCTGAAAAATTTACCACAAAATGTCTCCCCAAAGACCTATTTGTAAATATTTATGTAGCACATATCACTTTGGAAGTCCCTATGCGCTTATTATCATTATCCCTGGACATTGAGCTCACAACAACTGAACATTCCTGAAACCATCTCAGCTCCCTGGGGAGTATACTAGTTGAAGCTGCCCTATCAGGCGCACACAGCTAACATAACCAAATCTGCCCTCACAGGTGCCCATTTACTCCTGGGTGGAGAGAGGCACATGGGGGTAAAGTGACTTGCCCGAGATCGCAACATGATGCCACCAGCTGGATTCGAACCTCTAACCCTGTGATCAGAATCTACAAACTGATGATTACCGATAGTGCTGAGCAGCTGCAGGAAATTGCTCACCCAATGCTGATGGGAATTCTGGGCAATGTCGCTGGGACTGCGCATGTCTGCTGTCACGTACTGTTACCATAGATCCACATGACGGCAACGAAAGGGTGCTTGGTGGTTGGAAATTTATGTAAATTGGCCTCTTGATAACAAAATTTACAGAATGATGTTTTATTGTCAATGTCAAAGTGGATTGTACAACTATGGCATTATCAAAACCATTCTTTACAAACCATAAATGAACTGTACTGCAAATAAAATCACAATCACTAAACACGGCAGATGATAATGATAAAACACCATTTAAAGGTCAAAGTTAAAGAAACACAAATGCCACAAGGAAGTTTGCTAAATTAAAGTAAGAAATTTTTACTTCTTAAGACATTGCTGCAGTCTAGGTTTCACAGCAATAAAGATTTTGATGGCAGAATTCTGAAAGAGGTGCCAAAAAGTACATGCTAGTGTGGCCGCTGGCCACAACCGCAAAGCCCTCCCCCCAAAAATTTTTTTAACAAAATAAACAATTAAAAAGAAAGTAATCTACATGTACATGTATCACCCCACCTGCGAGTTTTTTTGTTACTTGGCAAATTGTATAACTTTATTAATTTAACTTGGGGAATGGTTACCTGGTTACATGCAGCTTACTCATTGTCCCTATACCATGTATACAATTCAACATACTAACATCCTCTTCCATTGTAAACTGATAGGTTACTTGGCAAACATAAAAACATTTAGTAAGTTTTACAGAAGGAGAAAAAAGCTACATGTACATGTGCGTCCAAAGTCGTTTTTCAAGATATATTTCAGAAATGTCTCTGCTTTGAGAAAGATATATTTCAGAAATGTCTCTGCATTAAGATAAGAGTAAGTACTTTAATGAAAGATGTTTTAAAGAAGTAATTTTTCAAGAATAAAACTGTGATTAAAAAGTAAAAGTCCTGATTTATACATCCCCCCCAATTTCAGAGGAGGAGCTGATTCTCAATCCGAAGGAATTTCCCGGAATCCAAGTAGGGGACATCTTGGAGATTTACCATCCGGACGAGAACAACAGGTATGAAAATTTCTTTGTCAACCAAAGGCAAAACATTGTGGAGTAAACTTCTATTTTTTTTGGTGCTTTGCATGGAAATTTAATACCAAGTCATGTATACAATTTGTATTATAAAAGAACGAAATCCAGAGGTAGATGACAATGTTTTGGAGACCCGTGATGCATTAGACGACAAAACTGGCTGGGAACCAGTCACACTTCATTTACCCGTACACTGCATGATACTTTAGTTGATAACCTGCTTTTGCTTATCTAATATTTTCTTTGCTCAGCAAATGTCTGTGAAATTGGCTCCTGAGATAAATGGCAGCTGCTGCTCGGGGAAACATTTGGTACCCGGGGCATTTGAAAATACAGTGATACAGCAGCCTTGTTATAGAATCGCAGCCAATGGCGAAATGTTAGTAACAATGAAATTTTATAGAATACATGTTGGCCAACTAGGGTCATTTGAATGTAACTTAAAATTTTGCGCATGGGCATTGTAGCAGTTGACTGTTGGTCGAACTCTAGTTTGCACCTTAACTTGCCCTAGTTGGTCAAAATCATCCATCATTCCAGCAATGTTGGTCAAGATATATGCATGTACACATACATGTAGTTAACTTTATAACACCTCACCCACAGATTCTGTATCTTGATTGGCTGAGAACCAGTCACATGGCATTTTCTATTTTAACTTTTCTGTTGTGCATGAGCAAAAGAACTACATGTATACCCGTATCTACTAAAGCACTCCACCCATAGCAACCAAAGAACTTAATGACCACCAGCATTGTGTGCAAATGCATACTGGTGTGTGCATTGCGTGTCATGTGCATTCCAAGGCACTAGCGTTCCAGAGCAGGGTTCAAACAGTTGTGAAGAGGTAGTTTGGAAAAATCTTTGTACATGTAAATTTTCAACAAATTTCTTATTCGAATAGAGGTATTTTCATACGTAGTTACCTGGAGATCAAATTAATCAGGTATCCCTTTAATCAAGCAGAATCTGTGGGACACTGTTATAAAAACAAATATCACCAACTTTATCTAATGATATAGTAAAACTAGCCTCCCTCTGTGATTCATGGAGCATTCTACTCTCGTTCGGCTTCGCCTCAGGAAAACAGAATTCTCTATGGATCACCTCAGGAGGCTTTTTTATCACACCATTCGAAGCAGTCAATATTTGTATTACAGTCAACGTTTGAACTTGCCTATGCAACTAACGTACAATTGCGGGAAAGGTATGTGTGTGCACAGGTACATGTACTTATGTATGTCACCCAAATCCCTGCTTAAGTTATCATAGAGCACCTCGTCACTGTTTGACCTCACAACTTGACCACCTGTTTCCTCTTTCTGATGGTGCCTCTGACATCCACAAGCTTCTGGTTCATAGTCTGCGTGATCTGGTAGGGTTGGACATCCGGGAACTGGCTGCTAACAAATTCTGACAGCAAAAATAGAAACAAAAGGAGAGATGTTCAAGCTTTCTCTTTCCGAGTGAGGGATGAAACGTCTTGCAAAAGAGAGGGTCTTGTACAAAAAATATTGGAAAATCTAGTATAAGGAAACCACTGTCAGGACAATTCTCATTGTCTTGGGTACCCTGTACATTTTACATGTCATCTCAGGAAATCTAAGTTTACCATGTAGGGTACAACCCTGGCCCTGGCCTGTGTCACGTTTACCCTGGTAAATAAAACAAAATGTATGGGGCATGTACCAGTATGCGCAAATTCAGAGCAGAAGTGGGACAGAAAGAGTCAATCACTAGTCATCTACATGTAGTTGCTTCAAGGTCCTAAGCTGTTCAAATGGCCTGTGACAAGGGCATGCCTTTGCTGGTGTAAAAATTTGTTGCAGGGGGCGTAAGCGAAGACCGTACTTTCCAACAGAAATCGGTTGTACATGCTCAGAACGGCCCATGCCAGATGAACATGAGCCTTTGCATGTAGGGGTTGTTCTTCTCACACCGTTCCTATGTAAAACATGCCATCTCTTCCTGCCTGGCACGGAAACTCACTTATGATAGCCTCGACTTTGGCCTGATCCAGTGCTGGACGAGGAGGGGAGTTGAGGGAGCCCTTGCCTGTAGCCCGCTCCCCCCGCACACAGCTGGCTGCCATCTCCTCCTTGCTGAAGACCATGGGCATCAGGCTGCGCGTCAGTAGGGTGTAACTCCAGTTCTTCTTAAAGGCAATTGAGCCCAGCTGGGTGGAGTTCACAAAGATGCCACTGGAGGGGACGAGCTCAATGTTGGTAGCTGGAGAATCTGCCACATGCTATCCCAGAAAATTGAAGAAAACAGGAAAGAAAAAAAAAGACAAGATTGTAAGAAAGCGCCACAACAGAACTAAATTTTAGAATAGTTTCAATGAAGGTAAAATTATCCCTCTGTCTTTTGCGCATAGACCAATGGGTCCATATGCAAAAACAACCCCCCCAAAAAAACATAGAATATAAGGGAAAAAAATACAGGACACATACAAAAATTGGGTTTGGGATGGTAACATTTATATTTTTTTATAAAAAGGTATATATTGTTGGCGATTCTCTGTGCTGGGTCAGGTGGCAGGAGTTAGCGATAAACCAATGTTGGGAAGGATGCCAACATAGGGCTCGGTAGCCAAGTTGGTAGAATGCTAATATGGTATTCCAAAGGTCGCAGGTTTAAACTCCCCTCCAGTCAATTTCTTTGCTCAGCTTTATAACTCTTTTCTCAGATGTTTCTGTACAACTCGTTTTTCAGGATAATTAAGTAGGGTAAGGACAAATTTTCCCCCCCCAAAAAAAAATATTTGCATCAAACCCCATACAAAGTGATTGATTGTACATGTACATGAAGCTCTGTCCAAAACCCATCTAAATACTACCAAATTAGGTTTGCAGCATGAGATTGTGAAAAAATACTACAGACAAAAGTTTGGCATTGGTTGCAAGCTTACATGTACAGATTTCATGGGGCATTTCTAAGGAGTCGGTTTTAGTCCCTGTTACCATGCATGAGTCAATCTAACCTTGGAAGCATTTGTGTAGTCTTGCAGAGCATTTCCCAGGGTTGATGGGTGGAGGGTGCCAGTACGTGCATCTTTGCTGTGAGGTTGCAGCAGCAATTGCGGCTGCAGCTGGGAATGTTGCAGCGGCTGCGCTGCTCTCTCATCTCGCTGTCTTGTGGTTGGCATTTGGGATGGTATGGCTCCTGGGAACTCTGTCAGGAGAAATGAAAAAAAAAAGAGAAAAAATGTTACTAGATTCAAACAGGTTGTCCATGCATCTGTCTCGATTTGATACCTGCTGTTGCATCCATCCTCATTTTTGAGGGAATGGTGCAGGAACATTTACACCAAAGGTACGGGGGGGGGGAACTTCAAAATGGAGGGCACTGACCAGAAGTCTGACTGCACGTATTCCTTGAGTAACAAGTAGGTTTGTGAGCTTTTCTGTGAGTTAGACTTGCCTGTAATCATCTCTTCCTCCTCATCATTTGATGAGATTATCTGTGGAAGCTCAGGTTCGGATTGCCAGGGTAGCTCATAGCCTTGACTACAGTGGCAGGCGTTTCTTGGGGAGTCAGGAGTCGGCACTCCAAAACTGTGCAGGGTCATTCTCAGTGTTTTCTCCATTTCTTTTAAATCTGATAGAAAATACAAAGAAATAAAAGTACACTCAGAAAATGAAAAAATTCAGAATGGTTTCTGACTAGCGCCCCCAAAGATATCGACAAATGGGAAAAGCCACCAACATAGGGCTGGATAGCTCAGGTGGTTGAGCACCGGTATAGTATTCCGGAGGTTATTGGTTCAAATCTCATTCCATTCAATTTCTTTGTTCATCAATATAATCATGTGTATTGTAAGCACCTGTTCAGTTTCCCTATATAATTTGTTTCATGATTTACATGTATGTTCAAAAAGCTGTATCCTTTATGAGTGATCTTTGTTCACCACTTCCCATGTTGTATCGTGTTATTGGGGTGTGATCCCTGGCTACATGGTGTTTCATGTTTAATGGCTTCTGGCTAGTCCCCCCCCCAAAAAAGATACTGACAAATGGGAAAAGCCACCAACATAGGGCTGGATAGCTCAGGTGGTTGAGCACTGGTATGGTATTCTGGAGGCTGTAGGTTCAAATCCCACTCCAGTCAATTTCTGTGTTCATCTTCATAATCAAAAGCGTTTAAACAGTTTCGGAAAGTGTGTTGTGTGTAACGAAACTTCTTTTTGGCGTAGGTTGTAGGAGTGATGGATACTACATGTAGGTTTCAACTCTTTATAAATGTGAGCACACCACCAGAAGAAACAATGTTAATGACACTTCTGTGGAATGTACCATTACATATTAGATGTGTATGAAATGTAAATTGTAGGGTTGGGCTTGTGAAACATTGAAATGTTAACAAACTTTGTAAAATTGTCCCACCCCATGACAAACAGAATGTACGAAAAACCCTTTTGTTTCTGTTGGGGCTTTCTATGGTTCAGTGAGCTTGAGTCATTCATTTATTGCCTGCCACTGTCTTTTGACAACAGAGGGCTAGCAAGGAACATTCTGTTGGCTTACTGATAGCTTCTGCCAGCCTGGCTCTGAGCTGTCGATTTTCCTGCTTGTACACCTCAAGTTCAGCATTCAGTCTGGCTACAGTTCTTGACTCGATGAGCCCAGCCGTTTCCCTGCTGCTGCCTGCAAGCTTCCTGGCTCCAGAGGACCACTGTCGAGCATATTCAGTGCAGCTGAGCGAATGTGAGGAGTTCACTGTGTGCCGGTGGTCCTTGCCATTTGGCTGTCGTCCCTTGAGTAGTTGACCACTGGTGTTGGCATTCGTTGTCTTCCATTTTGGGGGGGAAGCCTTCTGCATACATGTACGTCGCTTTGTTGCTGGTCTGCGATTGAGGCTGCGATTCTGTTTATTGAAGAAGTGCCAGTGAAAAACAAGAAAAGGAGCTGGTGGCAAAGGATACATAAAGGGTCATTGTTTTCTTTATTCTTTTGTTCCAAAGTAGTATGGGTGAATTTGTGTGCCACTTGCAATCTCTTTGGATTCAGAAAGAAAGGACAGCTCTTTTATTCTGCCAATATTTAGGTATATAAGTCATTTGCTTTAAATTAAACTGCGATCTCCATTTGGAATTAAGAAGAGCATGGGATAACCTGTGTGAAGGTGCATGTGTGGGGAATGTCTCATTGCCAAAACAGCTGTTTTAGATCAGAAAAAAGGTAGCTGAGGCTGCTTTTACTTTTGACCACTTGTCGCCGGGGACTCCGGTTTTGGGCACCGTGTGCTTGTACGCGTGGCCAGGGTCTCCAAAATCGGACAAAGGGAACTGGGCCTTGTATGAAAAGACCGTACTTGGAACAAAAAAACAGGCTGCTGGGCATTACCAACAATTTTTTACTCTCAATAGTGGAGATAATCCAGCCTTGTTTTGAAACAGTATATCACAGTTTGGGGCATTTAGTGTGAGCGGATTACCACGGGGGACAAAAGTGCTCCACCACCGCAGCGATTTGCCACACAGAACCACTGCACGCTAATCTGGCCCCTATTGAAAAGAGGTCAGCAGCGCACTGTTCCAGGTTCGCAAACAAAAGAAAGTTGCATAACACTGCACAAACTGGGCTACTTTTACAAGGCTACAGGCCTGGCTGAAATACTCGGGCATCAGTAGATTTTGTCTGTCAGTCTAGAGTGGCCACCAGACAGTAATTCATCTGGGTGTTAACGTCCATTAATTGAAATGATGAATTTTTGAAGAATTAAGAAAACTGAAAATCTTAAAAAAGTCCTGATTATATGCACTGCATTTTTCAAACCACCCGGCAGCAAGTGGTCAAAACCTCCTTTTTGAAAAAGTAAAAAGACAGGGATGCAAATAAAATTTTGGTACAGTCACATTTTGTAATTTCCACAAAAAATGTGGGGGAAAGGTTGAAAAACTAGGGCAAGGTTGGTCATTCTATAAATGTGGGGACCAAGGGTGTGACATTTTGTGTCCCTGTTACATCTGGCCTTTGGTATTTGACATGGAAATATCACCAGAATTGTTTTCAAACTATTACTTTTGTTTGGCAGGTAATTTGCATTAATTCATCACTCTTAGAAATTAGAAAATGTGTTCTGAACTTTACAAAATCATAAGTCAGGTGTGACAGGGACATGAAAAAAATGGATCCCTAATTTATAGAATTACCCAGGCACAGATAGCTTGGTAGTACATTTGATTCCCACTTTTATGGGTTTTTTTTCCCTGGGCAAAGCCCATACATGTTTCACAATGAAATAATTGTTTAATCCCCTGAAAGTCCTGACTTTCATTTCTGTTCTTTCTTTTCTTTCAATCTTTCTCTCTTTCATGTCCTTCCATGCATTTTGTTACTTTCACCTGTTTGGTTACAGTCAATGTTTCGTCTGGCCTGTCTTGCTTCCTGTTCACATCGGCCATTGGAGTTGTTGGAAGTGTTTCTTCTTCACTCATTCCAAACCTGTGTGAGAAACAGCTTCAACAAACTAAAATTCACAGGTGTATAGAGCAGCATTTTTCTCCAGATAGATTTTAGCATCAGCAAACTAAAATTCACAGGTGTATAGAGCAGCATTTTTCTCCACATAGATTTTAGCATCAGCAAACTAAAATTCACAGGTGTATAGAGCAGCATTTTTCTCCACATAGATTTTAGCGTCAACAAACTAAAATTCATAGGTGTATAGAGCAACATTTTTCTCCACACAGATTTAAGAAGACGGCCCGGGCCCTTCAACTGTTCCAAGCCATTTATGACACCATGTGTTAGCCAGTGAGGTGCTATTTCATATTTCATCTTATAGCGTACACAGTACAGCTTGATGACCCAGTTTTGCTCTTACATGTAAAAGCCACCAGGTTATGGGCCCAAGTTATGAATCCCACCAGTAAACTTTTCAAATAACACCCCCCATTATAATGCTTTAAAAGGAAGGTTTGGTTGAAAATAAACCCCAACAAATACTCACAGTTCACTTTTGAGCTGGGTGAATATGGGCCAGAGAGTTTTCAAACTTTGATCTAGGCTCAAAAAGGAGGCTGCCTACGTGACCCACCCGGTCGTATGCAGTGCATATGAAGTCTGCTGCATGTGCATGTTATACAATGTGCATGTACAGTGTACATGTACTTGATTTTGCCCCTGCAGCATATAAAGCATATACCCCCTCGTATACATGTACCAGGGTAGGCCTGTGTGTGGGAATGAATTACCCATTCATGTGTGATGTATGCATACACACTATCAGATGACTGTATACTCATTTCCATATAAAATGACTTGTGTCAGACTTTGCTCAATTGGCCCTAACAACCTGCACCATGGACTTGATACAGGTCAAATGCTGTTCACTAGAGCAGTGCACATACATACATGTACATATGCACTGCAGATCGAGTACATGTACATGTACTGTAACCTGTATGTACACTCAGACCTACCCAGCGTATATAATCTGCTAAAAATTACAGCAATATGTCTGTGCTGTGTCAGCCCACACAGTTTATAGTTGTTTGTTGTTGTCTTGCTACACGTGGATAAACCTATCCTGATTATGTATCCCTAAGTGACTTTCAGGTTCCTCAGACTGGAATACCGTGTAGCCAGTTTCAGATCTCCTTTGGAAAGGTGCATGGTACTCCCATCAGACTCAATTCCCCTGTGGCCAGGTCGGGTGGGCATGTGGGTGGGGCATATACTGTTAGGGAGAGCTAAACATTCACCCCAGAATCGAAACCCACCTGTATCTTAAATTAATTAATTATCTTAAATTCTCTATGGGCGCACCTAGCATTTGCTATTTCTTGCTAATCTTTGGTACAGTAATTGGTACCTCTGGCATAATTGTATCCAGTGGGGGAGTGGAGGGTGGCAAGTTGCCCTTTGGGATTTGAAAATCATTCGTAATCATTTTATAATTAAATCAAAGTAAAACTTTAATAAACAATGGGATACTCTATTTTGTATTAGATGTGAAAAACCCCAGTTCATCGCAGTCAGACAAGCTTAAATTTCTGTATAAAAATATAAGAAGCTTCAATTCAGTGTCAATTATTACATTTTTGTGTGTGATAATATTCCTCAATTGGGTACCGGTAATACGGGTGCCTCTGAGAGTTTGCAACGCATTGGCCAATCACAGTGCATGAAATCTGTTGACCCAGTGCGCATTTGGAAATGGTCGACAAATTTTGTGCATTGTGATTGGCCACCGTGTTGCTAACTCTTGGAGGCGCACTATTGTGAATCACCCGTATTAGACAGAAAATAAAAATACCTGTGATATTGTTGGGCTGATAGGAGGAACTACATGTTCTGTACTTGTAGCTGATGTGGCATATGAGTATAGTTGCAATAGCTGTGGGTGCATACAATGGTATATCAAAAAAACCTGTGTGAACTTGATTGAAATAAACATGCCCAGCAGAATCTTTAAATTTGAGTCAACTGGCTGGTTTAGCCATGCAGGTCATGAAGTCCCAAGAGGGCCATGACTTTAGGTTTGGAGACTTTATAAACCATATGGTGATTATTCAGTGTGTGTGTACACCTACATGTACATTGTACAGTGTATATGCAGTCTTCAGTGTTACACATACTGGTATAACACATATAAGGGGGTTTTAATTTTCTGTTTTAGATGCATGTAGAACTGCACACTCAGCAAACAACAGAGCAATCTTTCATTTACACACACGTAGAGACATATAGTCTTTTTTTAACCACAGCTGGCGGGTGCTTTTAAAAATGCAGTGCACACATGCGGGAGATTTTCAAGATTTTCAGTTTTCAAAATTCTTCAAAAATTCATCCTTTTATTTAATGGATGTTTACACCCACATGAATGACTATTTGGTGGCTACTTTAAGCTGACAGGTAACCTTCATTGACTCCTGAGTATTTCAGCCAGGCCTGCCGCCCTGTAAAGAGAGCCCAGAATTGTGAGGTGTTAAATAATTTCCTTTGTCTCCAGTGAATGCAAGTGGCGTCTTTTGCAATTCCCAGCAGCAGGTCTTTTGTTCTGAGTACTGTCTTTTGTTACACGGACCAGCTCTTTTGTCCAATTTCAGGCAGCCCAGCTCTGCGTATAAATCCATGGTGCTTGAAACGGGGTTAACGCTCCACCCTTTCAGAAATGGCACTCATCCACATGGGTGGGGGGAGCTTTGCGGATTCTTCTACCAATCATTGGACAAAATGTGGACTGTCATTTTGAAAAAAAAAATTCATTTGATTGCCTTTCCTTCGTGGACCTACATGTATGACCTAGATATGCCATTTCTTGGTTCTGTGGTTTTAAGCAATTCTTTGTTTAATGCCCCAAGACCGAATTTGGATCGATATTCTGCAGAGTTACAGGTGTACCAGTATCTGGCCACTGCAGCTTAGCCATGTGACAATAGGGGACACTATCAAGAAACTGAACAAAGTCTTGTTGAATTCTGCAGATGCGTGCTGCTGAAGAATTTCTAAGGGTACTTCACTTGTGTGAAGCAACAAGCTTGGCATTGAGCAATGCTTAATATACAGTGCGTTTGCATATTGTCAATACATGTACATTGTGTGCTTGGAATCTTTATGCTCAAATATGAGCCAAATCCAGTCTTTGGACAAGGATTTGCCCCACAGTAAGCCAAACAGACGAAAGGGAATACATGATTAAATTTCCACAATGCTATATCTATTCTCACATACACATAAAACAAAGGGGGTAGGAGAGAACTGGTACCGTTTCATTTGGAGGCGATTTTCTTCGTACATTACCTACTCAATTTATTGTTTTAATTTTTTTTTTAATTTCAGCCACCTCCTGCTGCAGGTCAAGACTCTAAAGAATGTGGAGTTACCACAGAAGGGTAAGTGGGAAAGGGAGGGGAAGGTGTTAATCTCTTTCCCCATTTTTCAAGTCTCTTGGTTGAAAACATCCTCATGAGCAACCCTGTCTGGTGTCCTCTCCTAGTGTCCTGGCTCTGCAGGGTTTGTATCCACAGAATTAGGGGTAAAATGTTACATTAGTATCTGCATATAACATTAAATTCTTCACCTAAACCAAATGCTTTCTTTTACCTTGTGAAGGAACTGCAGTAGGTAAAGTGAAACAGTCATCAGAGCCAAATTCACTCTAGTTCAAGACCAAAAGATACCAACTGTTTTCAGATATCTCCAGGTCTAGTAGCTGTCATGGTTCCCTGACTAAAATGGGAGGCATGCTTCTGAAAATACAAATGCATCTGAAAGTTGCTGAACTTGTTGATATTGGATTTTTTCGTCAATCTTCTCCAACAGTGAGTGGCTATAAATTGCTTTTCTTTGCAGATTTCCCCATATACATGTACACCACAGTACTAAAAAAACATTTTTGAGTTTCCTTGATATTTTTGGCCCTTTGATACCACTTTTGTACAGTTGTGGTTATGCAGATACATGTAGATCCTACTGTAAAAATATGGACTAGATGTAGTAAGATGAAAGTTTTCCAACTTCGTGGAAATTCTGTATTCTCATTTCGTTTTGTTATAAAGGTTGCACCGTGTTGTTGGGTTCCCAGCATTTTCTTTGATTTTAGAAGTAAGCTGTGCAGTTTTTTTGGATCCTAGAAGTTTTGCGTAATTAAGTGATAGAAAAGTTCCACGACGTGTTGGCAATTTTTTAGATTCATTTTAGGTAAGAAGAACACAGAAACATTGGATTTCCTGCTTTTTTCCTCCTTCAAGACATCATCAGTGTTGATCAAACCATTGCCAACCTCTTCCAGCTGCGAGCCTACAAGGATGTTGCGGTTAGCTTCGTCTCGTCTCTCCAGGACGTGGGTCTGGATCTGGTGGAGCTGGTGTTCAAGGACCAGTACATCAGCCGCAGCGACATGTGGCGGCTCAAGAATAGCCTGGTAAGGTCAGGGGTCGCTGCTATATGCTACAGTCTGCAGCCACTGGTAAAATCAAATTGATTTCAAATGTACAAATGTAGGTATTAGCATTTTTCTTTTGATCTGGTTAAGAAATTTCAGAGCATGCTGAACACTGTTAAAAGGGCTTTTTCTTTGTCTTGGAGGATTCTGTGACTGTGAACCAATCATCTAGACCGCACGCAACAGATCCTTGATATGAATGTCAAGATAAACCGACCCTCGCTTTAATCATACTGACACAGTTTGCCACATAACAGCTTAACAGAGACCAGACTTTTAACTTTTTCAGCATTCTTCAACTCTTCCCTGCTCCTCCTTCCTGTAACTCTTAACCCCTCCACCTCCCCGTCTTCATCTATCTAATCCGTTCCATTTTGTTGGCCTGTCAGCTCCCCGAGTTGCCCCTCCGAAACTTGCCTCCCCCCAAACAGCCAAAACAGCCCATCTGGGAATTCCCTCGGTCTGTCTACCGCGCTTCACCACGGGTAAGATTTTGGCTCGAGGAATGAAACGAGACCAGGTGTCATCCAAACATCAGGTGCATCCGGTCGCTGCATTGTTGATGGAAAAAGAATGGCAACTTTACATTTCCAAAAATATTTAAATGAACGGATGCTGTATTTTTTTTCTTCTAAGAATATGGCATGATGGTAACATTTTGGACAAATCTTCCCAACCACTCCTTCAGGAGTAGTTCTGGCACAGTTTCCTTTCTGTCTCCTCAATTAATTTCATTTGTTGTTTTTTCCGTATGTTCAAAGTAAGCATCAACGCGTCACCCAAATGTTGCAATGTTTTCCCTGTTTCAAACTTGTCCACGCCTAGCTAAACATACTAGGCATGTAGTCACCAATTATAAAGGGAGATAAATTGCTGGTCATCATATTGGGGAACATTTGCTGCAGCCAGTTAACCCTAACCCCCTAGAGTGTATGTAAAATCGTACTGAATGTGGAGGATTGGGAGTGTTAGGGTTAATGTCAGATTTTCTTACCTGAAAAAGCTGCAGTGGGCGGGTCTTTAAACCTATAAATTCTTCAACCTTGCAAGTGTGCTTTGATCCAACCAAGCATAATGTGTCAATACGTCAACCACGGAAATGAAAAAAATATTCTTAATGAGTGTACACGTCCTTACGGAAGTGTATAAGGGCCACTTGTAAAAAAATTTTTTTAGAGTTGCTATCGTACTGCGGTGAGTTACTATCTTGCTGTGGCGAGTTACTGTCTCACCGCAGCAAGTTAAATCATTGAATGTGTATCTCGCCATGGCGTGAAATTGAAATCCCGACCCTTCAAGTACTTCAGTAATTTCATAAATCTTATTTAGCGTGTCGTCGTACTCAGGTGTATAATTATGGTGGAATGCAGTGAAATTGGGTTTCAGATTGCTTTCAACAAAGCTTGATTCAACCAAGCTTGATTTCCAACACAAAAAAAACAAAAGAAATCTCTTTTGGGGGTATGAATTTCCATATTCAGAAGTGGGGTAGACTACTTTGACTCCCTGTTGCACATTGGTTTAAGACCCAGACACTCGGTCTGATTTATGTTTTTCAATTTTCAATAAAAACCTCTTCATTAGGGTCTGAAAATCAGGTTTTAAGTGTAAAAAAACTTTATTTTAAAATTTCTGTTTCTGAGATATAACAGTTTTAATGTATACGCTAACACGGGTAGAAAATAATTTTTGTTTCAATGTAAAATATCTGCCAAGGCAAATAAAACTTTGTTTAAATATAAAATATTGCTTTTTTTTAATGTTGCCTAGATGTACCCCTTCGAATAGTGTAGAGTATGATATGGGTTGATTCTTGGATGATACGGTAACATAACATTGAAAAAAGTCAACTTAAATTGCACAAAATACAACTGTTTAAAAATATTTATGATAAGACATTTTGAAGAGTACCTTCTAGTACCCATGGCAGAATGCCATATCAATTTGTAACATATCAAGAGAATAAATATCCCTTGTCAACGTAAAATCATGGTAAATTCGCGGAAATGACCCTTACACCCGTAAAAGACGAAATTTCGATTGATGTTTTCACTAAAACTTTTTGCTGATTGTGCGCGAACGAGTGCCCTCTCTTGACATGAATAGTCTGTGCAACACGTGCCCGTACACTTTTCTCTCCAATACCACAGGGTTTGTACCATGTCATCGCATTGAATATTGAAGTGCCAAAGCCAGACTTTACATTTTCGACGAAGTGAAATCTCGTTAGTTGTGCTTTATTCGCCCATCTGTGATGAAATAAGAATATCTTGCCACTGGTTGCATGGAATGTGAGATGCATTGTTGAGGAAAAGTTTTGCCCAAAAATTACAAACGAACAAAGTTTTATTCTTTGCTCCCGTTTCGGACCTTTTCGGTGAATTCTCTGGTATAAATCTTTTCAACCTAGTTTTCTGTATTTGAAGATGATGTTCAAACATGTTTGATATAGTTTTTAGGAATTTGGACCCTACATTGTCCCAATATCTACTGATGTCTGGGTCAGATATGGTTTTAAACCACTGTGTGTCGAAGGTATTGTGGTGCCTTTTCATTTCTGCTTTAAATAATCCTATTTACATAAGCACCGCAAGGGGGACTCTGAAAAGAATGGGAAAAAAAGAAAACAGCCAAAGAAATGAAAATTAGAAATGAAATAAAACATAATTATTTGCATGAGAAAAAAAGAAAATTGACCCTTTTCCCACAGATAAATATTGTTGTTTTAACTAAATGGTTCCCCCCCCCCAAAAAAATTCTGGCGACCCCCATGCGTAGTTCTACAAAATGTGTATTGCCATTTTGGACCAAACCTCAGTGTTGATATCATTGTAACATTAAAATTTGCCATGATTTAGGAGATTTCAACAGGCAAAAAAAATGAAGTGAAGATGAAAGGGAAACTAACACTGTTGTTCATCAACTGGATTGAAATCCCCAGGCTCTTTGACCTCACCTCCATGCATTCACCTGTCACAAACCACCCATACAGTGCAAGGTGCTGGGAAGGGCAAATACAAAACATGTTTTTTGTCGAGAACTTATTGGACGGAGTCTATATTTACATCCGAACACGTGGGTCGACACTTCCAGCTCGGTGAATACGACACGTGTGCACTTATACTATTATTGGAAATTAGGGCACTGTAACAAATGCTTTGATTGTCCAAAGCTGTGAGGTATTTCATGCGTTGCATTTGTAAAAGTACAGCACTGTTTTTGATCTCCGTTTTAAGTACTATAAATTAATAAATTTCGACTGATGAAAGTTCAAATGTAACTTTCAAGTCTGCTTGCTTATGTTTGGCACTAGGAAAATGTAGGAAGGAATTAAAAACAGTTTAGCCCTCATCTGAATGTGGAAATTCACACCACAAAATAAGATTTCATTTTCTTTCGTGTTGGAAACAAGCTTTGTTGAACTACAACATCCCTTTTTGTTCTAATTAGCAATCTAAAACCAAATCTCAATGCCTTTTTTCCATAGATACATTTGAAAACGGCGCGCTGAATAGGACTTATGAAACTATTGAAATATTCACTGCGGCAGGATATCAATTTGACGCCACGGCAAGATCTTATAACTCGCCACAGCGATTCTCTTTCAACGATTTAACTCGCCATGGCAAGATAATAACTTGCTGCGGCAAGATAGTTACTCGCCGTGGCGAGATAGTAACTCGAAGACAAGTTTTTACAAATGGCCCTTGTACTCGTCCGTACATCCACAATGGAACAAATAAGGAAAATTATGTGTGTGTTACATGTTAAACGATGTCAAGTGGTCAATCAGCATGAAAGGGAAAGTGAGAAAAAGTAAAGAGACAAAATTCTCCGACTGGCATGGCTTTTTTCTCGGCTCTTTTTTCTCTCAAACCTCTGACAAAAATTGCTTGAAGTCACTTACCAGACTTTATTGCTATGGTGGAGTCAAGAGAGATAGGAATTATATTTGGAGAGTAAGGAACTAATTTACTGTACACCCGTTCCTTGCACCCACATGGAAAGCCACAGATTTCCTTTCTTTTTATTGTTTGCCCTATGCCAGACTTGTGCGGATAAGCACACCCAGATGCAAAGGTGGATCATGGACCTTTTGGGGGAGGGTGGCACTCTTTGGGAGGAGGGGACAAAAATTGGAATTTTTTGTACGTTTTATGGTCTGTCTTAGGACTTGGACTAAATTGGGGGATTTAAACACACTTTTTGGAAGGAAAAGAAATTAAATAGTCTGAAAAATCCCCTTTTTCTGACTGTGTTTCAAAGACAAATCACTTTTTCCCTTTTTTTTATTGGGGGGCACAAAGCTGTGGCCTGTGTTACCCACCCCCCCATCCACCAATGTTGAGGGAAGTGCATTGAAGGGGAGTTGCTACGTGGAAACAAGTGCCTTCTTTACTCTTTGTAACCTGGCATGTTTATGAGTTTTGCAAAAAACCCTAGCTATTTGGCCACCGGCCTGAACAGAAGCATGTCTCGTGCATCAGGGGTACGTCGTCAAGTTTGAAAGTCTTATTTATGATCGTCGAGCATGAGCATAAAAGTGATTGCATTAACCCTAGATGTCGTAACTCCAATAACGCATCATGTAATGCATATGGATTATGAATGTTCAGTGAATTTGATTGTTTCCTTCTTGTTCACTGATGCTGACAGGTGTAAATAGATTTACTGGTATACATCTGTGGCAGTGAACAATTGATCTCGGATTACATGACGTCTAGTAAAACCAGCTTGACTGGGTCAAGAGGTCATGCGGCGATCAAATTTGCAAAATGAATTCAAATTGTTGAAACTAGTTGACATTTAAACACACTTCTCTGGCCTGTCTTCCCCACAAGGATGGGTTCCAAATCAAATTTTCAGGCAGAGCATCTTTTTGGGGGGTGGGGCTAAAAATTTCAAATTTTTCTTCTGGAAACATTTCATGGCTTTTCTTAAATCTGAGTCTGCACTTTGCATCTTTCATACACTTTTTGGAGGGAGGAAAATGAAAAGTACGCCTAAATTTTAATTTCTTGCATTGTTTTTCAAAACCAAAAATTAATTCTATTTTGAGGGATGCCATGGTCCCTTTGGTCTCCTATAAACTCCTGCATCCGCAGAACATTGTGCAAGTAATGATTGTGTTTCTTAAATCAGCAAGGAACTAAAACCATTAACCCTAACCCTCCTCAATCCTCCAACAGGTGAAGGATTCAGGAGGGTTAGGGTTAAGCCTGAGCAATGGGGAACATCGTGTGAAGCTACATGTAATTCCGCATAATTTCACACCAGAAGATGCAAAACATTGATGTGGGCATCTGTATGCATAAGGATAGCTGATGGGCGAAAACGGCCCTGAGTCACCTCCCAACTCTAGTCTGTCATTTGTTTCATGCAAAGTGGATACCATTAAAAATGGTACATGTACAGAACACATACATCGCCTGGACAAACTTGGTATTTAAATCACAGCTTCGTGTGGTTATTTTATCCCACACTGTTCACAGTGTCCATTTCACAGTAATATGCTCATACGTACATGTACATGTAGGTTTTTTAAATAACTGCTCAAATTTGATATAACCACCCAGTTTTTCATAGCCGTATATGTATCCTGCATCCACACCATTTCTAATGGTTCCTAATGACCTAGAAGTGTGCAGTGGCAAACTTGGACTTGAGTGTTGCACACAGCCTGTTGTAACAAATACAAGCACCTTGGCAATGCCGCTAAGAAATATCATCTAGATTTTGTTCAAATGACTCTATGAAGTCCGTGTTTAGGCTAGTTTGCTTGTTGGTTGGCATTTCTTGCTTATTTGTGAAAATTAAAATGTCCGACAAAACAATATTATCCACAGAGTGGTTAAAAATAGTACCATTTGGCATAAACATATATCAGGAACAAGTTCTGAACACACCAATCTGTATCAAATAATTATTTGGCCCACACAGGTTAGATCGTGCATCCATCTCCAGCAGAAGATAGAATTCATGGGTATTCGGGCGCAGGTCAGTGAACTCTGGGCCCGGGGTGAGAAGGTCATGTGTGGGGCTGTTACCGAGGACACTCGTGTGGCGTTCCGATCCTCGACTGCCATGGTCTACATGTTTGTACAGATGAGTTCCGAGATGTGGGATTTCGACACGTGTGGTAAGAGTCTCTTTTTTTTTCTCTCTCTCGCTCTCTCTCTTTTGTGGGGAGGGGTGATCAGAGCCTGTCTCTTGAACCATTCAGGGGCCAGTGGTGTGTAGCTAAGCCCTGTAGGTGAATTTCCTAGTCGCAGAAAAAAACCTGTCATTGCTAGTCTACCATTCTTGCAGCCCAGAGCTAAATTTAAATGTCAAAACGGTACAATTTATTGTGAGGACAATAAAACATAAAGTAATTTTTAAATCAAAATAAACCACTATCATTCATATTTGATGCTTAACATTTTCATAACTACTTTGCATTGCAAAAACGGGTCACCAGCCAAATATTATGCAGTCTGTATTGCTTTGGACCAGTTTCCAACTATTATTTTTTTTCATTGCAAATTAGTCCAGGCAATTCACAATGCAATATACCATGAAGAGGTTGGCACGGAGAGGCCATTTTTGTGGTGCATTGTGGGAAACTGTTGACGGATTAATTTTCCAGCTGTGTGCAGGGAGCTTTGATGAGCCAGTTCAGTATTTCAAAAAGGCAAGATCGTCTGACAAAAGCAGTCAGAGTAAAAGTGTGGCCCCGTCTGATGGGCTGCCTTGTACTTGCACACATTCAGTTGCTGTTCCTGAATGATATGACCTCATAGGTGCTTCGTTTGGGGTATGCGCTCTTGGAATGTGGAACTGGCATATTGTTTCTTGATTTTTTTTTCTTGTGTAGAAAATTTGTAACCGTATTTCAAGTATCAACGTTAATTTATCAAGATGATTGTGTTTTTGTTAGGCACTTTAATAAGGCACCTGACACACACAAAATACCACACCATTCACAAGTGCTATCTTTGTCACTCGGTTTGCCGTTTGGACTGAATCCTTGTCAGTCCGTATTCTGTCATTAACATATCTGCATTTGTTTTACTCACATATAAAGCAGATGTACATGTGAGTATTCAGGAGTACCGTAACAACCAACATAATGCCCATCCCCACTTGAGTAATATGGAACATTTTTGTATTTGCCGGGAGACGGTTTGTAATTTTTGATGAGTGTCCTCAGTTCTCGTCATTAGGCCATGTCAGACATCTGGTACTCCACAGGAATAACAGTACTAGTAGTAGCCAACCCAAGCAGCCAGCAGATTGCAATCAGTTTGTAGGTTTGTTGGCGACTGCGGATTCTGTGAAGTTTGAGTGGATGACACAGGGACAAGAATCTCTCGTATGAGGACATGGTGACCAGTGCTATGGCTGAGTGGTAGCAAAGGTTTGTTACCATATAGAAGCTGATGCACTGAGCTGAAGTGACAAATGGGTCTTGCCTTATCACAGGTGATAAAGATATACTCCATATGGATTGATGCAAATGAGACGAGAAAGAGCAGATCAGCTTGTGCCAAGTAGAGAGTAGTGTAGTAGTAGAGAGTAGTATTCATTGTTGTGATGGTCCACAAAAACTGATCATCAATCACTTTCCTCGATTTATCTCAAACAGGATGGTACCCAGGCATGGATGACTAAGTCGTGGTTGTTGAAGTTAATACATGTAATCATTTGTAGGCAGTCCTCCAAAGGATGGTTGATTTCTGATCTTAGTGTTGTCAAGCCACACGTTATGTGCAGATTAATATCATATCTGCATTGTTACACTTTGAGCATGGTGTTTTGCTGAGTGATTGAAACTGTCCAACATTACTGGATTCCTCAGCCATTCATGCCTTTATCACTGCTAAACTTGATTTTTGCAATAGCCTGCTCACCGGTCTTCCGCACGATACAATTCATCGTTTGCAACTTGTACAGAACGCTGCCGCACGTCTTCTAACGAGCACCAAAAGAACAGCTCACATAACTCCCATTCTCAACAAACTACATTGGTTACCCATCAAATACAGAATTCAGTTCAAGATCCTCCTTCTCACATTCAAGACACTCCACAGCTCTAGTCCCCTTTATCTTGCAAACATGCTGCAACTCCGCTCTG